TAAATGAAAGACAAACACCAGGTAATTTCACTTTGAAAGATAAAGAAAAAAATGAACAATCAAAACAAAACTGAAACAAATTCTTAGATTATAAGAACACAATAGTGGTGACCATAGAAGAAAGGGGAAGTAGAATGGATTAGATCAGGTCAAAGGGTCAGGGTGAGGGATGGCAACTGGGCTTTAGGCAGTGGGCATAATGCAGTACATACAGAGGCTGACTTATAGGCTGAGCTCTATGTAATGTTCTAAACCAGTGTTACTTCAATTTAAAATACATATAAATTACCATTAATAATTTTATGTTAGTTACATGTCTGCTTTGTGATATTTGGATATATTGGGTTAAAATGAAATAGATTATCAACCCTAAAAAAATCTGACTTGATTTTTTGGTTAATTTTTATGTTGATTTTTTTTAATGTTAGGTGTTAAACGAAGAACTCTCACAAGGATGCTGAGGTCACCTGTGCCGAGTGGATCCTCGCCTGCATAGGATCTTCTGTTGCCAACTTGTTTTGTTTTCTGTTAAAATAAGTGTGTCCCTAGAAATGTTATTTGAACTAATGAGTTTTCTAAGACTCCAAAGATACTATAAATTGTCGCAAATTGATACAAAATGCTCAGGTTGGACTCTGGAGGAAGATGCTGGGAGTGAGATTGGGGGTGCAAGATGTTTATTATTGGTGTTTCAATAATAGGATGGGGAAGAGGAAGGAATCAGAGTTCAGAGAGGGCCTGACAAAGCCTCGGCCAGTCTGCCGAGGAGACGTGCAACAACTATTGCTCATAAGAGTGTCCCGCTTCGGATTGAACTGCCTGTTGATTCAGGTGAGGTGCTGCAGAAGGGTGAGCTTGGGGCCAGCAACTGAGGCAGACCCTGAGCAGCTAACAGCTGGAGGCTGCAGATGCAGCTAGCTGGTCCTCGGGTCTCTCTTGAAGGGGCATTGGGGCAGCTCATCCACATACCCTCCACAGCCCACCCCCTGCCATCAGGAGCTGCTGCTCCATGTATGTTTGGGAAGCGCCTTTTTCAGAATTCAAACAGATCTTCTTCCAGCAGGAAGAGTGAAGTTAATGGGACAGGCTGCTCCCAACCACACTCGGATTCGGGCCACTCACTGCCTTGGTGGCCTGCGTGCCTGTCCCCAAGCCCAGCCTGGCTAAGCCTGCAGTGGCTGTCCCTGTCTACTTAAAGCCACGGTTGGGCAAGAGAGTAAAAAGAGGCACCAAACTGAATTACCTGGGTTCTGCCCAACCACTCCCTACCCAATCAGGATGGTGCCCCTGCGGAGGCAGTGAGCCCTCCTCTTGCTGACTATTCCCCAGACCCAGGGACCCAGAGGACACAGGCACCCTCTATGGGTCATAATTCAGCGGGACCTGCATTGGGGCTCTAGGTGAAAGCACTTGGGGACCCAGACTTGTAAAGTTGGGAAACACCAAGCGGAACTTTAGTGAGAGGAACTAACCTGCTCCTTGGTTTCCAGACCCACAGATTCTCCCCACTGGGGACACTGTGCGCACATATAGGATGCTGTGGGGGGCGGGAGGTGGGGGTGGCTCATTGTTCCTGCCAGTTCCTTCAGCATCTGTCCCAACTCTCTCTAGCTTCTGGGTGGATTGGCGTGTGATCTGACCGGCAGGTCCCAAGGTCAGCGCCCACTCCTGAGCTTTCTTTCATGTCAAGTTGGGGCCCAGTTAGATACTATGTGGTGTGCGAGTCCACATCTGAGGGTCGGAGGTCCATAAGCCTCTGGAATGGGGTCTCTCTGAGGCCCTGTGGGCAGGAGAGGAATGCAAGGCAATTCCTGAGCAGCTCCCTCTGGCTGTTAGTCAGGTGCTGCAGGGCCTGCCTCAGTTACCTGCCCAAAGTCACTGTTCGGAGCACCTCCCCTGGACAGAGCAGCCTGAGTCAGCCCAAAGCAGGACATTTTTATGAGCAGTAGTTGCCCCGTGAGGACAGCGGGGCCAGGGTCGTGACTTGATGCCAGACAGCCAGATGGGCTTCTCCAGGCACGGGCACGTGTCAGGGGCTCTGCGCTGGTCCCAGGAGGGACGTGCATCGGGCGGGTCAGCCCAGTCAGCGCTAGCAAGTGGAGTCCATGCTGCTGCCCACGTTGGTCTCATCTCTGCCGCTGTGACTATTCTGCTTATGTTTCCATCTACTCGGGGCCTCTCCTTGGGGGTGTTCTCTGGTTGCACATGATATAAAGACCTTTGCACTTTGTGTTGCTTCCCTGTATCCATATTTTTACCATACTCTCCTTGTCCTTAGCCTTTCAACCTTTTTTCCTCCCTGGTTCCTGGATCCGTCAATCCGGGCATTTGCCACTGCCCGTGAGTCGCGGTCTACTGTAACCCTGGTTGCTTTCTTTTTGTACACAAAGAGGGCGACTGCCTCATATCTTGCCCAGGGGCTAGTTTTCCTCAGCACTGTCTTTAAGGGCTCTCCGTTTTCAATATGGGACTGCGTAGTGCGTTAAGTCATCCAGTCACTGGTGTCCCTCCATAGGCCCAGTTAAGACGACCAGGCTGTCTTAGTTTTGGTTCCCCATGAAGAGGACACTGAGACCCAAATGTGGATGTGCAAGCTTACTGGGAGGCGATCTCAAGCAGCACAGTGATGGAAGAGAAGATCTGAGACAAAATTGGGCGGGAAGTCGGTAGAGGCGGTACCAGTGGGCGGGTTTTCACCGTGGGACTGGAGCTCAGTTCCATGGGGATCCTCTGAGGGACTATGTGGAACGCACCACGACCCCATCAAGGAGCGCTGAAGTGGGGATATTTTGCTGCCAACTTCCATCGTTCACTGGCAGAGGATCCATCCTGAATAACTCTTTGGCCCTTCTTGATGTCCCTGGATGCCAGTTTGCACAAGAACCAGGTGAGCCCTGAGTGTCAGGATGGGGTTGGTAAGGACAAGTGGTGGCACACAAACCAGAAGAGATCGGGGGGGTGGCGGGGTGGGGGAGCCGGGCCATCCCCGTGACAATGCTGAGTCTAGATGGGGATGAGCAACTGTCTCTGGCCTTTTTCACCATAACCCCCGCCCCCCTGCAGGCTGAAATGCTGGCATAAGGAATCAAATGAATCAGTGCATTTGTCTTCATGTCTGCAACAAAGTGGATTTAGTGATTTAAAAAACTAGGCCATGCGGTAGTGACCCTGTGGGAGCCTGATCATGTGTCTCTAGAGGAGACCTAGTGAGCCTTTCACCTGCCTGCCGTGGTGTCCTGGTCCTTAAATGGAGGTAACTGCCTCTCACGTATATACAGGTTCTTCCTAAAGGTGGAGAAATGTAGCTAAGAAGCAATCCAGGGTCCTTTGGGCCTCTCTCCCCAACAGAATCAAGTGATGGCGTATGTTTCTAGCATGGGATACATGAAATAAAGAAGAGTGAGCCCTTAGAGGGGACAAGTGGCAGGGAGAGGACACCCAGTCCCTGTGGGGTAAACAGAGGGCTGGATCCCCACCTGGAGAAAGCCTAGCATCAGGCTTTGACAGGCCCAGTGCGCAGGCCTGGGCAGACCATACACTTCAACATGGGGCACTCAAGACACATTACTGGCACAGCTCTAAGTCAGAAGTAAGTACAAATGGTTCAATGGTGAAATTGATTTCATCACATGATTTAAACATTACAGTACCTAGGCAAAACAGTTGCAACAAAGACAAATATAGGAAAACCTGAAGGGGAAGCACAAAAGAACAGGGAAGGAGGAAGTACTTCAAGATGCTTTAGCAAACAATTGACTCCCTTCCAAAGATCTCTGTCCCCTTGCCATTCTGCCCTTCGGTTCCTGCCCCAGGGGGTCTGTCATGAAATTCGACCCATCCTGCCAGGAAGGCAGACCTCTCTCCTCTTGAATGTGAAGCAGCAAGTTCCTGCTTCAGTTCTCAGCTCCTCAGGCTAGAGTTTGGGACTCTTCACAATGGGACACCCGCCTGTAATTTTCTCATTCCCTGTCACCCCAGTCCTAATGTTAGTGGGGAAAAGGATGTCCCAAAGCAAATTCCATATAGGCTTTGTGGACTCTACCCCCACCCCAGGTCAAAGCCAAAGACACTGGGAACTCCAAATCCCATCACCACCAAAGGGAAGGTGGCTGGGACCTGAGGGTGGGGTTAAGCAGCCAGGTGGATATAAAAGGCAGACGTGGGCTTTGGGGGACCCCGTTTTGGCTCTCCACCAGCTCGCAGCGTCCGGCCAGCTCTGAGAGTGACTTTGGGTTTCCAGGTCGTCGGATCGGGTAGGACGCATTAAAGACTTTATTTCCCTATTTTCTCCCTGAGTTGTACATTTTCCTTATTTCCTTTCCTCTTGTAAATAAACCTTTTATTAACCTTTTTGTGTGTGTCTGTAGTAGAGTATTCATAAGTCCCTTTAAAGCGCACGGGTGAGGACCCACAGCCAGGAACCCGTTTAATACCGGGGTTGCTCTATAACACTAAGAATAAACGTGGAGTGCAGTAGGGACCCCCGCTGTTACAGAAGACCGTGTCTTTTTTTTTTTTTTTTAAAGATTTATTTATTTTTATACAAGAACCAGGGTGCAGGCCAGATGTGCAGGAGGGTGAGAAGATTCACCAGAGACACAGCGGGGAACAGAACAGGCAGACTGACGAAACACACTGCTGAGGGGAGCAGCGGGTGAGACAGGAGAGGTTGGCTTCGCCATTTGGGATACTCTCTGGCCGGCCCTGATCGAACCCGCACTGTGGAAGCTGCGGACAGCTTCACAGTGCGGCGTTCAACCGCCTGCGCCACCAGGGAGGCCCCCAGGACTGTGTCTTAATGCACATGCTGGAGTCGAACTTCTATTGACATGATAATTGCACTTTTCTCTGAAGGTGAGGGGTGACGAGCATTGTCAACTGTACACAGCCTGGAAGCAGCGCTCTTCAAGGGAAGACACGAGAAGGTCTCACGCATCAAGTGCCAAGTTGCTGGAGGGTATTTCCAGGTGCTGGCACTGGAGGTGAGCACTGTTGTGTGGAGCCAGGATAGGAGCTCAGCAGGTTTGTTTGGCTGATAAACTACATTTTTTTAAAGACAAATAATCAAGAATTTTATTTTAGAGTCTTACTCATTTCCATTTTCTCGTAGCTGAGTTATAAAGTAACATTTTGCCTTTAATCTAGAGTACAAATGGGAGAGTAGGGTATCTTGAAGCTAGTTAGTAACCTTCCAGAAACTCCTGAGGAGGGGCGGGGTGGAGGGGGTTGTTGGTGCTAAATCTCTGGAGGGAAGAGCTGGGGCTGCATATCACTGGCCCTCCCCACTGGAAGTCTCTCCTTGCAGTGCACACTTGGAGATCTGGCCTTGGCTTCGTAGGGAAAACAGTTACATTCTGCTTCCCTCATTCTGTCTCTGTCTCTGTCTTAACTCTCTTGCACATAAGTATACACTCACCTTTTCACCCAGTCCTTAGAAATATATTATTGCTCAAATTACCTAATAGGATAATTCGGCTAGATGTGACTTCCAAGTTTAAAAAAATCTCTTTAGAGTATATCTGACTTCAAATTATCTTGATTACCAAGTATCCAAGTTCATTGCCCCTGAACTCAACTCATTTATTTGCTCTAAAATTTGAGAGTCAGACTAGACTCCTCGTTTTACTGTCTTTCAACTTTGGGGTGTTTGTGTTCAGATGCTCGCACAGAGAGCAGGAGGCAGGGCCTGCCCAGAGTATTGCTATCCACTGAGCTGAGCGCCCTCCTGGGGCTTTTACAGGTCTGTTTTTTCTTGCAGCTATTTTTCTTCCTGACACTTCAGCTCTTCTGAATGTACATATATTTGAAGGTCAGAGGTTACTTTCTTTTTGTAACCAGAACCCAGAGAGATTTCTAAATTCCATATTTTCATTCTGTGCAGCTCCTGATATAGCATTATACAGAGAACGGTATCCACCAGAAACATTATTCCTACTGTCAGGTAGAAAATGGCAGGCAACCAAACAGGAGCTGGTGACGGGGCCGCTGAAACAGAAAAACACAAAAGGAAGAAATACTATTTAGCTACCAGGGGTTGTGTTACATTTGGAAGTAAAGGTGCCTAAGACTGATGTGCTTGTCCTCACTGGTCATTTGGGGCGGAGGGTGCAGGAAGAGTGGCGGCAGCCCCAGTGGGCTCCATGGTAAGGGGGTGAGGGGTAGGTTCCACATAGGAGCTGAAGTGCCAGGCCCCTGTCCATGAACTTCCTCTCTAGCTTCAAAGACAATGGCAAGCTCTGCGCCATTTGATGCTTGAAATAAATTGAAGCTGAAGACAAACTTTCTGTTCCAAAGGGCCTTTGTTCTGGAGCTCACAACCCTGCATGCTCCACCAGATATAGACACTTGGGCAAACCTGTGTAGGTCACAAAGTCTCTGTCTCATCAGCCTGTATGTGAGCTCCTTGAAGAACTGCACCGCAGGGTCTTTATCTCCTGGTACTTACAATGGTACAGAGGAGGAGGAGCACAATATACTGTTGTGGGGGGGGGTGGTGGGAGAGGGAGGATGGGAAGGATGGGGGAAGGGAGAGGAGAGAGAAGAAAAGAAAGAAGAAAGGACAATAAGGAAGGAATTAGATGGAGGAGGTAAAGAAAGAACAAGAAAGGAAAGGAAATGTAATGAGGTTCATGAGAATAGGGAAGTTCTGAGTCAAGAGTGCAAAGGCCTGGCTGGCCTGCAAAACCCCCTTGAACAGGCCTCAGGCCTGTAGAAGAAAAAGCTGCTGCTGCTTGTGACCAGTCAGCCTCCTCCCTCTTGCTCACCGTGCACGCGAAATTCCACCTTAGGGCTCTGCTTAAGGAAACTTCCATCTCCCGTGGCAGCCTCACACCAGTAAAGCCCAGAGTCTTCTCTTGTAGCCTTTTGGATCTGGTACTCAGAGGATGTGTTTCTGCTAGTCAGGGTTTTGTTGCCCATGTAGAAAGAGAAGTAAAGTTGCAAGCCCGGCCTCTGCTGGAGCAGCCGAGTCTCACAGCTCAGGCTGACCGTGTTCCCCTCTGGGAAGGGCGATGACAAGGACGCTGTCAGCACTGGGACTGCAAATAGCTCTAAAGAAAATGTCAACAGGAACAGGTTGCTTCAGTGTCAAGGTCTTTTACAGAAGTTATCCCCTCCCTACCATGGGCACCCCCACCCACCCCAGAGCATGCATCCGGTCATGAATTCCCCCACTTCCAGTGGGGAGGCATTTCCTCATAAATGCACTCACGGCTGCCAGCGTGCTCACACCCTACTGGGAGCAATACCTCTGTAAAGTCCACTGGCCCCTGAAAAGCCACGTCACTTAGTGTATGGCCATGTCCTGCTGGTAATGGGGGACCTGAGTGACCACTGCCCCCACACGAGCCCTTGTAGTGACTCATTTCTCAAATTCCCACCTCAAAAAAAAAAAAATCTGAGACAGTTGTTTCCTTCCCATAGGAAGGAACAACTTTTCAGACAGAAAAGAAGTTGCCAGTGTTTATGAGGTGAAAGACCAAGAGAGTCACAAGAAGGGCCACATGTCATCTGGGAGAGAGGAAGCAGTGAGAAGTGGCCTCAGGGGCCAGGCTGTCCCTGACAGATAGGTGGAAGGTCTGATCAAGTCCTGACCTCATCCTAGCTTTTGTTGCTGTGGAGCTTTCATGAGATTCCTTTGGGTTATTTTCTAATAACTCTTCTACCCCCTTGAGTGAATCTAGTCCTTGCAACCAAAATAAAACAATGAAATGGCCTTACATAGCTGCCGGGATTATGGGTGGGACACTGGACACTGGAAAAAGCAGTGGACTGGGGCCCAGGAGCTCCCAGTGGTGGCCCCAGCCCAGCCATTGGCCCCCGTGTGGTCTTTGGTCAAGCAGTTTCTCCGTCTGGAGCTCAGATTATTCATTTACAAATTTAAGTGATGATTTGCAATGGTTCCTCTGGTCCTTAAAGCTATTCTCTACAATCGTCAGGGACAGTACCTCTGACAGTGATGGACACTCTTGCTGACTTGAAGCGTTCCTTCCCCGTCCCCTTGCCTTCACAGTGATAGAGGCCACTGTAGCTCAGGTTGGTTTTCAGGATGGTGAATTCAGGATTCCAAGCAGAAAACCAAAAGGTTTTGCCATCTCGGTAGAAAAGTACATTGTACACCGGCTTATCTTTCCATCGACACCTCAAGTCCAGAGGCTCCCCTTCGGTCAAGACTCTGCTAGAGACCTGGAGTAGCAGAGTATCTGAAAAACATGGACCCCAAAAGTATGTATACAGAGCAGAGGTACAAGGAAGCCAGACCTGGCCTTAGCTTTTTTCTTCCCCTCTTTTATCCTTGCCAAATTCTAACCACAGACCTCTGCTGAATCACAGGCCTGTCTGCTGGCCCTGAAATAGCTCTACTGGAAAGAAAAGTTTCCTTTCCTAGCAATCATGCACACAGCTCCTGCTGTCTTCCCTTTTCAGCTCTCAAAAGCTGGCTGACACAAAAACAGTTTCCTCTATGTGACAGACAGACTCCTAAGATGAGGCCAGTGAGCTACACCCTGTCTTCTCTATGTCTGGGCAGAAACTATGACTTCTAGTCAACAGAAGGTGGGAAAAGTGAGGGGATGTCACTCCTACGACGTATTACCGAAGACTCTGTCTGCTCCAGCAGGACCAAGATTGTCCTGCAGGCCTGAAGAAGAGAGCTGCCATGTGGGGAGAGGACTGTGAGAGGGTAGGGGACCTCTACTGACAGCCAGTAAGAAGGTGGGAACCCCTGTCCTACAGCCCCAATGACCCGATGAGCTGGGAGGAGCTGTAGGAAGGTGCCCGCTGAGTCAACACACTGCTGCAGCCTGGACAGAGCTCCCAGCGCAGCTCTGCTGTGTCTTCTGACTGGAAAGATAACAAATATGTTTTGTTTTAAGCTGCTAAATTTGTGGCGATGTGTTTGTTACACAGCAAGAGAAAACTTATATACTCTGACTCCTGGCAAATCTGTAAATGAGATCAGAGGTACCAAGACAAACACAGAATGACAAATACACCCAGAAGCATGTGTGCTGCTAAATGAAGGGAAATGCTCACATACGCGCCAGTGAGCTCTCTGCTGAAAACAGCTCCAAGTGAAATGGGCCCTGCAGCGGAAATAAACCTCTACACCCACCAAAGATGCCTTCTTTACATTGTCTTTCTTGGGTCAATTGGTTTAGCTAAATGTGGATGAGATTCCTAAAGGACAAAAAGGAGAAGAGAAGGCGGTGCTTTTTCCCTTCCAAAACGTACTAAGCATGGAAGGCAGGTATCCCAGGGATACATGAAGCAGAATTTTTTTTTTTAATTTTTAAAGATTTATTTATTTATGCACACAAGAACTGGGGTACAGGCGGCCAGAGGTGCGGGGATTGAGAGGATTCACAGAGACAGAGTGGGGAGCACAATAGGTGGATTGACTGAAATACACTGCAGCAGCAGGTGAGACAGGAGAGGTCTGCTGCGCCATGTGGGTAGCTCCCTGCTGGGGATTGAACTCTGACTGCAGCAGAGATGGTGCTGAGAATTAACTCCTTAAGCCACCAGGAAGACCCCAGGATTTTCAGTCTTGATGCTGCCACAGTGCTTCTAACTATAATAGACACCCTTTACTCCCTCATTCCTGTTCCCAGCTGAGGCTTTTGTTGTTGTTTTGTTGTTGTCTGCCATTTCCTTATTGACTCGTAGGCACTTTTCTTATATTCTGTGTTCCAAATATCTCCTGAGTAGGGAGCCCCTGGGAGCTGGGGGCAGAGCCGAGCAGCCTGGGAAAGCTTTATGACCTGAAGGCAGGTGAGCTCGGGGCACTGGCTTTTCTGGCATTGATTCACACCCAGAGACTTGGAGAGGAGACATGAAAGGAGACACAGTGTCTCTTGTTGAAACAGTCCTGACTAGGAGCTGATTCCCAGAGGCTGAGCCACCGAGGAACACCTCTGACAGTGTCAGCGTTTCCTCAGCTGCAACACATTTCCTCCAAAAGCAACCTGGTCCACATAAAGCTGATTCTGCCTCCAGCATGGATTAACCTTGTATTGTCAGTTATGAAGGCATTTTAACCTGTTCTTTTGGATAAGTAAATAGACCACTTGTATAGTTTGTCCTGAATAATGAAATGTTTTGCCCCAAAGAGTAACACAGTCACCCTCTCTTGACCAGTGGAAAATACAGATTTAAGTGGATGGTGGGGCTTTTGTTTGTTCGTTTTGCTTCTAGTCATCGGTGCTGAAAGTCTCATGGTAATTTCATTCCAGAATCTTATTCTATGAAATGTGCCCCAGACTCTAGGTATAAACATCTATACTGAAGCATTGCTGGTAGAAGCCAAGGAATGGAAATACCTTAGCAGTTTACTCACAGAGAGAATGGGATAAACAATCAATTAGAGCACATTTGAAAGTAATGGGTTAATTTCTTGATAAAGCAGACCACCGAGGTATTTTAAGTGATAGGGTAAGGTTAGAACAGTACACAGTCTTCCACCCACCACTTGAAGAATAAAACTTGTAGATGTCCACAGCTTCTGTTCCGTAACTGTGGGACAAGGGACTTGGGTGGGCGGGAGACGCCATTGTGCATCCATGTACCTCTCTCTCTGAACTGTTTGCTGTGTGCAGGCATAATTTTTCCAATCAAACTGGATATTTTTGAATGAAGATAAGATCTTGGAGTCTGAGTTTCAGCCTAGTACTCTCAGCTGCCCCACTGAAGATGCTAGAACACACCTTAAAGGCCCTAATGTGATGTTTTGAGTATCCTAGTTTCACCGAGTGGGCACATAGAACACACTTATTCTACGATAAATCCACACAAACTCACTAGCATCCACAAAGGAGAAAGCGTAAAGGAAGGCCTGATGATGTCCAGCCTTCTGCCCCATGCCACACTCACCTCTTTGGACCTCCAGCTGCACAGGGTCACTTGGCGCCGAGAGGCCTGTCTGGCACTTGTATTCACCGCTGTCCCTGACTCCGGCGCTGGCGATGCTGTAACTGGGCGTCATGGGCTGTAGGAATGTATTGTTCAGAGACCACCATGTAGAACTGTTGCCAGGCAGATGGGGTCCCTCACAGTGTAGGGTCACACTTTCCTCTTGGAATATATTGACCCATGGAGGCTGCAAGGTGATCACCGCCTTTGGACGCTCAGCTTGGGGTTAAGAGAGGGAAGGAGGGAAAGACCCATCAGTGAAAATCGCTCTGCGTGCTTGGCAAGGTTTTGAGGACAGCACAAGCAAAAATGGTGCATTTGGATTAAACTGAAAAGTGGAGAAGTGGGAATATTTTGCAGGTCAATCTTTCAGAGAGTTCAGAGAGTGCAGGCCCTCTGTGGAGGGAGGTTCCTGTTCCTGGGTCTGCATCTGGGGGCTGCAGAGTTGAGGTTTCTGAGAAGTAAATGACTGGTTCCAGTCTCATTGTTGGTAAACAATGAAACAAGGCCTTAAACTGGGGCAAATTGATTAGCGATGTTTTCTGATGCCCCATGCCTGACTGTCTTTGCGTGTTAATCTAAGACCTAAATTTGCATCTTCATTGGAAACAGAGGTTCTAACTGCTCCTTTTGAAGTCTTCCATTCCACTTGGCTCCCTCGAAGGGGAAAAAGGGACTGTTTGGGGGGATGCTGGAAAATCCAAAGGAGCGACCTCTGTGAGCTTGCTCTGTGGCGCTTTCCCCGTATTGTATACACATTTCGGCATGAGGCCCAGAGGGCAGGGCTCACTCAGAAAATCAAAGTGGAACTATAAAAACCAGGACTTTATCAAAATCACACTCTGAACACAAGGGAGGTTACGTAGTTTATAAATCTCCTTTCTAGCCTTTCCCGATATTCCCTTTTTCAGAATAATGGACCCATCCTTTGGGAGCAGGAATGAAGCAGAAGAAGTTAAATTAGTCATTACTTACCCTCTTGCCCACTGACTGGAGCTAGAAGAGACCACAGAACAGAGACATCAGTTGTCCATTGGGAGAGGACAAGGAAAGGAGAACTGGGGAGACAGAATTAACTTAAACTCCGAGGACTTCAGGTGTCTTGAGTTCCTCCCTACCCGCCCCTTTCCTAAAATCAGTCACCACTGGTACTGAACAGCCTACAGAGGACTATTGAGGCTTTATTTTGACATGATACTTCCAGGCTTCATGTTACCCCAAGTTTCCATTCCCATACTTTTGATATAATTAGCAGCAAGAAACCATAGAAACACAGTTGTCTCTATACTCACACATTCCAGCTTAGGACACTTAAGGAAGAGAAAAAATCCTCGATCCCCCAAAGCAGAGCCTGTACCCTGTTAGCTCCCCACTAAGCCCAACTTACCCCAGAGGAGTAGAGCTGTGAAGAGCCACATGTTATCTCCAGACAGATGTAAGCAGGAATATCTACAACACAGAAGACATTGAAAAGGTTTGTGAGGTTCTGGACTCAAGACAGAAAAGAAGAAGGAAACAACCACTTCCGAGCATTTTCATCATCTTCCCTTTTTTTCTAAAAAAAAAAAAAAAAAAAAAAAAAAAAAAAGTATTTATTCATGCATACAAGAACTGGGGTATAGACCAGATGTGTAGGAGGGTGAGAGGATTCACCAGAGACAGAGCAGGGAACAGAAAAGGGAGACTGACTGAAATACACTGCTGAGGGGAGCAGCGGGGGAGACAGGAGAGGTCGGCTGCGCCATGTGGGTAGCTCCCCAGCTGGCTAGGACGGAACCTGGGCCGCAGAGATTGCGGACTGCCTGACAGCGCTGAGGTCAACTGTCTGAGCCACCAGGGGAGGCCTCATCTTCCCTTTCTGAGTAAACATTCCTAACTTGACACTCCCTCCCCGTTCTCCTACCTCTTATTCCATCTGCTCCAGTTTGACACTCTAGACTTTTAGTTAGATTCCAAGGGAAGGTTACATTTTTGTTAACTTTCTATTCCGATTATATTCTTGTTCTCCCATTACTGTTTCTTGGGGCTAGAATATGGCAAATCCTCATTTTAAAATTGGTATAGGTCCTCCCCTGGTGGCTCAGGAGGTTGAGGGCAGCGCTGTGAAGCTGTCCGCAGCCTCTGCAGCGCCGGTTCAATCCCAGCCAGCTGGCGAGGGTCGTCCCACCTGGCGCGGCAGACCTCTCCTGCCTCTCCCACTGCTCCTCTCAGCAGAGTACTTCGTCAGTCTGCCTGTTCTGTTCTCCACTCTGTGTCTGGTGAATCCTCTCACCATCCTGCGCATCTGGCCTGTACCCCAGTTCTTGTATAAATAAATAAATAAATCTTTTTTTAAAAATAGGAAAAAAATAAAAAATAAAAATTGGTATAAACTATTGGGATCACTGTTGTGTATGTTTTGCCTTTTACATTTAAATTTTAAATTGATCTGCAAATAGTATCTGAATGCGGCGTAAAACAAATATCTAATTTATTTTTTTCCATATATATAAATACTTGTGGCAGCAGCATTGAAAAACTGAAATCATTTGTTCTGTGCTGTGAACTGTTAAGCTTACCATAAATTAAGTTTTCATATATGTCGTCAGATTTCTTAATACTGTTGGGGTGTGGATCAGAATTACATTGAATTAAGAAAGTAATTGGGGGATGATTTGTATCTTTATAACATTGACTGTTTCAAATCACAAGCTTGGTATAATCTAGTCAAGTTTGGTGTTCCAGAATTACTTTCACTAAGTTGCATTGTTTTCTTGCATAGATCTTGTGTGCTCTCTTTCCACACGTGTGTATGTGTATATATCTTTGCTAATTCAACTGGTAATTTAAAATTTACATTTTCTAAACATTTGTTTATGGTATAGTAGAAAATGCAATTGATTTAGGGAGCAGTGGTTTTATATCCAGATACTTTACTAAACTCTAAAATATTTCTCAGATTATTTGTTTGCAGATTCTTTTGCAAATTTTGGGGTAAACATTCATTTTATCTTCAAGTATTATAGAATTTTACTTCTTTCTTTCAAATCCTTATATGGTTATTTGCTGTAGGATTTTGGTAGATATGCTTTTTCAGGAAAATGATGATTAACTTATTAGTTTGCTAAATCATGAATCAGTGTTAAGTTTTACCGAATTCTTTTTCTCTATTACCTGAGATGATCATATAATTTCCTCCAACTAGTTAATGTGGCTAATTATATTTCTAGATTTTCTGTTGTGGAAAATCTCTTAAATCCCCCTGTAACTTAATTTCATCATGATTCATTATATACTTATATGTATTATTTAATAACATTATGTTATTACTATATAATAAAATATTATGTTTAAATATGTATTTTATTATATGTTTTTAGATATTGATGGATTTGACTTGGCAATGTTTTGCACTTAAGATTTCTGTTTCTCTATTTATCATAAATTTCACCAGAAGTTTATCAATGCTATTAGTCTTTTTAAAGAATCAAATTTAGACTTTGTAGATTCTATTGGTTTTATCATGATGTTTCTATTTTAATTATTTTTTTTGTTTATTATCTTCCTTCTCCTTCCCTTTGCTGACTTTAAATTCTATGTTCAAGTTATTCATTTTAGCCTTTCTTCAATTCCAATATAAAACTGTAAGAGGTTTTTTTTTTAATTTGAATCATGACTTTAGTTTCTTCTTCTGTTTGGATTCACGATGGTCCTGCTACTGGTAATAAAATTTCCTTTTATTTGCTATTTTTCTTTTTCTATTTCTTTCTTCTCATGATTTGCAATTTTTGTGCACTATTTTTATTCTCTAGTGATTCTCCTAAAAGTGTAACATGCATGTTTTATGTAAAAAAACGTAAAATAATCACCAGGATGTTATCTTTACAGGAGAATACTCTCACCAATTTCATGCACTAGGAAGTGACAACAGAATATTACCAAAAGTTTGTGGTCGTGAATCTTAATGTATAGAATGTTTTCTGTAGAAACTTATTTTTATCATCTTTTTCAAACCATGTCAACTTAAGACAAATCTCTGCATGAAGATGATGACTAGCTGCATACTGGTAATCCTTTCAATGTTGGACATATATACCAAAGAAGTGGCTTCCTTTATGATAGCATAACCCAGAATTTGTAAGAACTTTACTTACAGCTGTAACAACTTTGCAGTTGATACAGCTCTGTCCCTCAGTATTTTGAGGGGCTAGAGCTGAGGTTGAATAATGGTGCTATTTTCCTTGTAATAACCTGAGAGAGCAGTCAGTTTGGAGTAATGACAAGAAAAATTCACTCTAAACAAAAATGATGGTTCAAAGAGCATTCTACAATGTGATATTGTCTCAGCTTTTCTGCCTGCCACAATTGTCAAGCTGAAAAGACAAAAGACAGAGGCTGAATCTTTAATATGAGCTTTTATTAGATCAGGAAGCTAATCTGAGAACTGCTGAGCCTCAAACTTCAACTTTTCCAACACCTCATCTCTCACTGGCTGTTTTATAGTTAGTTAAACAAACACAGTTAATTATTAGTGAACGGCCTTCACTCCAGATGGAGTGAAGTTCCAACAGTTCCTCCAATACAGTCAGGCAATAACTAACTCCCTTCTGGTTACTCTGGGAGTTAGGCCAGTTTTTCTGAATTTTGAAAAGTTCTCGGCTCAAAGAACTACTAGGTGTAGTTGGTGTAGATTGATGGATTCAGCAATATTTTGTTTTGGAAGGAAGTTATTTGAGTGAATATCTTGTACTGTTGGGGATCAGAAACAAGCACATACAGTGGTCTCAATCCTTGAAAATTTCTGTACAAGGGCATTGTTTCTTAGGTTTTATCCAGGCTAGATGGGTGAGGTTGAATTACTCATGTCTAATGTTTTCCTGGCCACCCCCTTTTCTTCCCCGAAAAGGGAAGTTTCTCTTCCTCCAGCCTCTAGGATGGTTCTCAGAAGGAAGTTAACTTCTTGGAGAGGCAGAATTTAACAGAAATGAATTTGAATTCATCCCTCTACACTAGGCTGGACCACCAAACGTTTTACTTGGATGAGGACATCTTTTAGCTCAATGTCATGCATGAGAAAGCTAAGAGTTTAAGTCATTTGGGCATTGTCAAAAGTTAATAGTGCAGTGAGACAAACTAGCTCTATATCTGGCTTTGTGTGGGAGTGATACAGTAATCACAAGGGTGGATAGAAACAATTATTGCTAGTCAACCCTGAGTCTGCTTCCCTCTCTATATTTGACTTGGGCAATTAACATCTTTACCCCAGAAAGGGGGGGGGGGGCTGAAATTCTGTCCCCAGGTCCTCTCTGGGGAAAATGAATCCTTTGCAGTAAAGGTGCAGTGAGAGGAAATAAAACATATATTTATATCTTGAAGGTATCTTAGCATTTGGCAGATGTGGTTAAATGTTGGGTTCTCTCTTGGCTTTTCGGAAGGTGAGTACAGCCTTCTTGTAGTAAAAGGGGACAAAGGGAGACTTTATTCTTTACATTTATAATTTAAGATATTAGTGTTGACCATAACCACTATAATAGAGCGATGGCATTTGTATTATCTTTTCACTTTTATGTCATATATTCATTCAAATGTTTTATACTACTTAGACACACTTCATGCAATGTTTTACATACATTATTATAATAACTGACTGATCATTACACTTTTATCCCCCTCACCCCCCCAAAAAAGCTACAGAGCAACTAATGACCAAAATTTATTTCACTTTCTTTCTTGATATTGTTCTTTCTCCCTCTCTTTATTCTCACACTGGGTTCTGGCTCTTTTTTCTTCCCTAGATTATAATTTTACCTACCTAACATACAAGTTAGGTTACATTCTAAAAACCAGTAAGGCACAGTTTGAGATTGACAATTGAAGTTACAGGAACAGAAGTAAGAAAACTGGGAGAATTTCTGGTATTTTGCTACCGTTTTCATTGGAGTCTGTTCCGCAGATCCAGCATTTGACTAGTACAAGTTTTCTGTGAAAACATTAGTTTGGGTGTCTTTGTTAGTAATTAGCCAACACTATAAAAAACCATTTGGGGAAGATTGGTCTTTCTGGAGAGTCTATCCAAATACTCCTCCAAAATCGACTGGAGTAGAGGCATTGGTGGTTCAGTGGTAGAATTCTCGCCTCCCACGCGGGAGACCCGGGTTCGATTCCCGGCCAATGCAGATTGTTTTGCCCGTCTTGTGCTTCCACCCAGGGGAGCCTGCACAGGCGAGTTTTGCGCGCGTCAGCTGCAAGTTGCAGACAAGGCCTAACTTCTGGACAAGGCCTAACAAGTTCTAACTTCTGGAACTTAAAACATTCGGGAATCGGTCTGATCAGGAACCGTGCAGGACGGAGACTGGCAGCGACCACTTAGTCTGTCTTTGCAAGCAGCGAGCGTTCCTGGCGGGCTGCCATTTTGAACACTTAGAACGAAGACCGTTGTCACAGTCAGGCCTTCTCTTGGGACCCTAAAGACGCAGAGAGCCAGCAAGTCAAGCCTTTGACACGCGTCGCCGACCCGGGGCCGTCAGCCGCTGGGCAGCGAGCGAGGGCGCAGAGATAAAAGTCCCAGAAGGAGAGCGGGTCATCGCGGGGTACACCCCGGGTGCCTGGGGACCCCGAGCGCTCTGCGGGGTCGGGAGTCCGCCTTCAGCACCCGCCGCGGGACGCGGCCCGGAGGCGGCGCCAGGGGAGACCCCGGAAGGAGGCTGGGGGATCCCCAACATCATCAAGGGCTCTCAAGGATGAGGAACTGAGGCCGTGTGCCTGGAAAACTTTCGCGCCAGACTCCGCGGGCCTGAGCTGGGCTCGGGAGCGCCCCCCAAACCTGCGGCCAGCAGTTTTCTCGTGGAGCGGGAGCCAGGCCCGCCCGTCCTGGCGCTCAGGCAAAAGCCCCCCCGGGGCCGGCCTGCCCTTCGCAGCCCGCGCCTCGCGGCCGAGCAACGGCTTTTCCTGCCCGGCAGTCGCGGGCTCTGCGCCGCCGCATCGTCTGGCCTTGGGCGAAGGTTCGCTGCGGGGGCGCGGAGCGGGTTCAGCCCGCGACCCTCGTGGGGTGCGCTCAGACCGGGGGGCTGAGCCTCCCGCCCCGGGTCTGCGGTTGGGCCGCGGGGGCTCTCCGCGACGGGGCGCCCAGAGCAGCGGGACAGGCCGGGCCCCCGCGGCCGCCGGGGGCCGTTGATTCCTGCGCCCCGAGCCCGCGCGACGCCCCCGCGGGTGCGCGGCTCCCGGGCGCGGCCTCCTCGCGCGCGTAACGTCCGCAGCCCGAGCGCCCGCGGCGCGGCGGGCAGGGCCCGGGGGGGCGGCTCGGCTCTGAGCGCGGAGGACGCGGGGACCGCCCGACGCCGCCGGGGGCGGCTGACAGAGGCCCACGTCCCGCTGCGTCCGCGTCCAGAAGCGCCTGAACCCGGAGCGCTCCCGGCGCGCGACGGTGAGTTGGGCTCGGGCGTGCAGCGGGCGTCGCTGCGCACGGCCGGGCCTGCGGGGTCTGTCCCTCCCGTCTGTCCTCCCGTCTGGCCCCGGAGAGCTGCTGCGTGGAGCGCGGAGCGCGGGCGGCCCCGGCGGGGCGCTGTGCGCCTCTGGGCACCCCTCTCCATCAAGGCTGCGCGCGCGAAGCCAACTGGCCCGGACGAAGCTTTTTAAAAAGAACTTACCCGCTTGTGAAAGGTCTCGTCAGTCCTGGTTCTCAGAGCTCTTCAAAGGGCCAAGACACCATGAGAGGTGCAGGGAGCCCAACTGCGAGACGCGGGCGGTTCCTCCAGGGCTCGCCCCAGCTCGCGAGCCCGCCGGGCACCTGCGTTTGGCAGCGCGAAGAGCAGCGGGGAGTCGGGGCGCCGCAGCGGGGAGTCGGGGGGCCGCAGCGGGGCGGGGGGCCGGGGAGCCGCGTGCCTGGGCTGACGGGGAGCCTGTTTGGCGCTCTCTGTTGCGTCCCGCATTGCAGTGGGGACAAACATTAAAGAAGCTGTCAGTGACTGATCAAGTCCTGGCCATTTTGTTGCAGAAATTGTTTAGGTTCCTGGACTAGGAGAGAGACGTGTCCTTGCTCCAAGTCTAACTCACAGCAGGAGAAAGTGGGTGGTTTCCCAAGCAGGTGCTGCAGGTGCCTCGAGTCTGCGTTGCGCGCACTGTCTGTGCGGTCGCTCCGCCGCTGAATTCAACAAGTCCTAACTGAGCGTCCCGGGCATTCGACTTCCTTTGGCCCCTACTCGACACCTACCCTGGGACTGGGTGTCGGGACCCGGGCAACTCCCCGGGCGCTGGCTTTTGGGAAAGGTGGGCGCCAAGGCCCGCGAGACTTTCCAGGCGCCCCAGCTTCGGAATCCCACAAGCCACCAGCGTCAGACAGGACGAGCAAGTTGATTCCTCGCAGTAATTCTTTTCTTTTCTTGTCCTAGGCTCGGAACCTGGTCGGGTCGCACCATAGGAGGTGGTGTTTCGTGAGAGATGACTCTCCGGGAGGAGGCTGGCTGTTGTGTCTCTGTGGCGCAATTGGTTAGCGCGTTCGGCTGTTAACCGAAAGGTTGGTGGTTCGAGCCCACCCAGGGACGAGGCTGGTATTTTACAACATCCAAACTGGTTCCTATGGGTCCACCCGTTGGAAGAGAATTAGCTCACCTTCCTAAACACTTCTGGGCTCGAACCCTCAGGGCAATCAGTTTGGAAAGACAGTTTTACAGGCGACATGAAGGTTCTACGGAACCAAAGGCCTTCTAGCATCTGCGCTCAAGAGCTACCTGCAGGGTGTGCTTGGGTTTAGTCATTGCTCAATAATTGTATCAGTGGCAATCATCACCCTCATCATTATCTTCTTCATTATTTCTAGTGAAGACATTTCTTCCTTTATACTATTATTTAGCTCTCTACATGTTGTTTTGAAAGTTAGTTGCCTTCATAATTTTATGTTGCAAATAATGCTGGGGTCATCATCCTTGTGCATACTTCTCTTGCCGCTTGTATGAGTATTTCTGTGGGACAGAGTCCTGGACATGCAATTGCTCAGTTATAGTGGTTATGGTCAATGTTTTTAAATTTTAGTATCAAACCTTGTACATTTTCCTCACATAGTAGTGGGACCAACTTATAGTCCAACTTATTTTTCGAACTCAGAGATTCCTTTTCTTTATATTCTTGCTAGCACAACAAACTTTCTGTACATCTATCTACGACATTCTAATAAAGGGGGTGTTTCCTCCTGAGTTAAAGAAGCAGGAGGTATAACAGATAATGGTGGGCATTAAGCAGCAGTATGTCTCTGCATCTGCTCCTCAGCTAAACTTCCAAGATATTTTGTGTAACTGTAATTGATTTCTGTGGTGACTTAGAGTGAGTCTCTAATAACCTTGTGTCAAGCAACTTACCCAAGGGGAGAAAAAACTCACGGATCCCAGACATTTGTTCTTCTTTCCTCCATAAATGGCAAGGGTGAGATTAGTATGCTGTCTATATTAGAGTTCTCCAGAGAAAGTGACCAACAGGAAATCTCTCTCTCTCTCTCTCTCTCTCTCTCTCTCTCACACACACACACACACACACATACACACACACACTACCAAAATCCTATGGACCTAGTAGGTGTCAATATCTGCAGCAGTAGAATATCTATAATAAGGACAATCTCAATACACAATGATTTTCCTGTAAGAACTTTTGACTTTAATAAATTGCTCTCCTGGTAACTAACACTCTTCTTTCTAAGAATCTGACTACACTATGTACTTCATGGAAGTGGACTCCTACAGTATCTGCCCTTTTGTGACTGAGTGTAATGTCTTCAAGGTCCATCTATGTCATAATATGTTTTAGCATTTCCTTCCTTTCTCAAGGCTAAATGACTTTCCCTTGTATGTACATTCCAAATTTTGTCCATTCCTCTGTTGATGGACAGTGGATTGCTTCCACCTTTTGGCTGTTGTGAACAGTGCTGTGTAGCTGTACAAATATCTCTGAAACATGGCTTTGACTTCTTTGGGGCATATACTCAAAAGTAAAGCCAATGGCTAGATCATATTAGCAGTTCTGGTTTTCATTTTTTGAAGAACTGCCACATAGTCTTCCATAGCAGTGGCACCGTTTTATGACTCCATCAACATTGCCCAAGGGTTTCAATTTCTCTGCCTCCTCAACAACACTTGTTATTTTCTGTGTGCAAGTGTTTTTTCAACAGCAGCCATCCTGATGACTGTGAGGTGGCATGGCCATGGCATTTTGGACGTTGAGAACACTATGTCACGGGATGTCACTTAGCTTCCTTTCCCAACTCTGAATTCAGTGGTCTCTCATTGGTACCTTAAAGTTGACCATGGAAATAGTATTTCATCACAGAGAAAGGCAAACACTCAGTCGCTGTGTCCTCAAAACTATTGCTCATGTCACTGTCCATCCCATGGCCTAGCTGTCACTGGGCTGTGTCATGGGCCATTTTCGATACTTTTCTGACAACTCTGTAAAGACTGAGTGGAAGGATAAATAAATCTATTAGATGGTTAAATCAGCCCCCTTTATATATCCATTATTCATATTTCAGGAGATAAACAAATTTTTAAGGACTTTGATAAAGTGGAAAGTAACTTGTAGAATGAGAATGAAACTTAAAACAGACATTAGCAGAGTATGTGTATAGAGATTTTTTTTTAAGCAGGGTAAAAACAATCATCTGCAAGTAGCAAAATTGGGTGAGGGTGGGAGTTTGGAAGGTTAAAGCTGACTTCATGTTAGATGCAATCCCTGCATGTTTCCCTGTGGCTGGAGAAAGAAATCCCACATTGTATGGGGATAGATTATTATGAGATGGAAGAGTAAGACATCATTGTGCTCCATTTTACTAGTCATATTTAGAGCAATTGTACTCCAGTTTTTGGTTACTATGTTCTTGAATGGATGTTGGGGGTAAAATATAGAGAGTTCTGAAAAAGGAACAGTAAGAATCACAAATACTTAAAAATTCATTTAGAAAAAGCCACAAGAATTGTTTTATTGAAACGATCTTCAAGAAAACAAAGGTATAGATAAAAAGGTTGTTGCTTTGACATTGTTCATGTGAAACCAAACTTGAATGAGAAGAATATTTTTAGATTTCTCTATAGAAACTGATCCGTTAGCGCAATCAGCATAAGGAGCCGCAGATATTAAAATTGGTGAAAGAGGCGGTTTCCATTAACAGAGACACCCAGGGGGAGAGCAGCAGCCTGGCGCTGAGTGTGGCCAGCACGGTCAGAAGGCGGGCCCCTGGGGCTCTGTGACCACCTCCGTGTTCTGATTCTGGGGTCACCACTTGAGACCTTGCCCCTGAGCCCTCATCACACTATTGTGGTGTCCTGGCCACTGGGGGTTTGAACTCACACATCTCAAGCTTTGTTTCTGCCTTGACAATTCTCAAAACCTGTGGGTGATGACAAGGCTCCCTGATTTCTGAGGGGACACTCCCACAGAAATTCATCTCAACTGTAAGACAAAAAAAAAACAACAAAAAACTCATCCTTTAGCTCTGTTGGAAGTCTATTTGCTTTCATTGTTTATTTCCTCCTTCATGTGGCTGCTCTTCTCCCTCCTCCTAACAACCTCTCCCCCTAACTTGCGGCATCTTTCCTCCAACCGGATGGGTCCCCTTGGCTAAGGGAGGACTCTTCAAGGGGGCATATTCCAACTTCATTCTGTACTTTCTTGCAGCATTTGTCCTTGTGATCTTGGGCCCCTATGGGGTCCTCTTCGGCAATCCAACTTCTTTAATTCTTTGATTCCTTCCTTCTTCTTTGATTCCTCTAGGAAGCTCTGGAGAGAAGCCAGGCCATTGCGTAGACACAATTCTCTTCCATCAAGAGAGCTCCTCCTGAGAAAACACCCCACTGGAGGCTGGGATGCAGCAAGCCTCAGAGAAGAAGGGAGCTGACGAGAGAGGAGGGAACACACCCAAGACCCAGCCCGCAGAAGCAGGGTTCTCCTCCGTGTCCCATACTAGGTAGGTGCCTGTCAGAGACCCCCTGGCAGGATTAAGTCATTGCTCTCAAGCAGCTTCCAGGGTCTGCCTTCAGGGAATAATTAACCCCCAATTTATTAAGTTTCTGTTATGGGTTTGAGTCCTTGTATGGTTTCAGGTTTTAAGGGATGCTAGAGTAATTTAGGAAATGGTTTAGAAAGAAAGATCTATCTGAATTTTAATAGGCACAGCACTGTTAATCTTTCCCACATCTGTGGAAGATGAATAAAACACTCTCAGCTCTGAAAGAGCTTCAGTAACCAACAACTGCCTAATGACATGAGAAATATTAAACAGAATGTAAACAAAGTATAGGGTGTTTAAATGGTTGAAAAGGAAAAGAATAAAAATAAGCAATAAAAACAATTAAAAATAGAAAAAGAATAAGGGAAAACACACACACAAAAAAAAGACTATAAAAAAAAAACCTGTTAAAAGTTGAGAAGGAGTTTATGCAACCAGGGAGATGACTTAACCTGATCTTCATTCTAGCTCCTTGCCACACTCAGATGACCTGTTCCAGACCAGTGATTCTGGGCCTCAGGCAAATTTCACTTTCTTAGAAAACAACCAGCACCTGTTCTTTGCTGGAACAATACAAACTGCACTGCAATGTCTCTAAGATAAGTTGGTGAAATCAGAACCTATTGGTTCTCCTCTGGCTGGTCTGCAGAAAAACTTGAGTTGCTCTTATAAGTTCACCATTGAGTTGCTCTTATAACTTCACCATTACTAAAATAATGAATGATAGACAGTATTTTCTTTTTAATAAATTAAATTATTCATAGACTTTGATTTACTCATTCTGACATTTGAATATCTCTAGGGTAACCTAACCATATCTCTAGAAATATGGTCACTTTGACCAGATGAAGAAACTGAGGCATAAAGTAGTAAAGTAACATCCCAAGTTTGCAGGAGGAGGGTAGAGCACAGGGGGCTAAAATACAGGCCTGCTCATTCTTGCTATGCACATCTAAGTGCCTTGCATGTTAGTAACATCAACAAGATGAGCTAAAACTCTCTCTTCTACTCTTTCCTATAGCAAACTGTGGATATGTCTGGCGGGATTTTATGGGGTTTTAAAGCAGTTCAGATCTTTTTTTTTTAATCATTCTTTTGAACCCCTATGGACCAAATACTGTAGTAGTTACACTGGAGGATATAGAGGGCTGGTATTCAGAGGTTAAATAAAGGAAGATTGAAGATGTCTCACCCACTGGGTCTTGGCTATCTGTAGAAAAGACACAGAAGGTCCGTCCTGGTGAGAGAAAAATCCTTTTATTGGAAAGAAGTGGTTCTGCTTGCACATGATGGTTGCAAGTGATCCTTTCACTTTCCAGTGAACACTTAGCTTTGCTTACTGTACTGGAACAGATTATAAACTGGAGAGGGACTAGGGGCAGAATTTAAAGCAGAGCTAGAAAAGAGGGCCTAGTGCAGTGTTCAGAAGTATGCAGCAGGGGGACCGACTCTCTTTCAAACAGAAGAAAACTTTGTTTTCCTTCCTTCATCCCTTCTCCACATTCAGGTCACTAAGTGTGCTAGAATCTTTGGGTAAAATTCTCAAAGTACCTTCCTCTGAGCTGCCCTAATGACTAGTCACTTTCACTGTTTCTATCCCACTCTAGGAATTGTCCTTCCTTGATCCAGGATCAGGTTCAAGAGTTGATCCACCTGCAGCAGAAGATGAGGATAGGGAAAGTTGTCTCTTCTCATCTCATCCAGCATGTCAAGAACACAATTAAGAACTTCGAGGAGCTCCTCAGTAGGAGTAAAATTGACCACTACATGGAGCAGCACTTCATTGAGCAGCTGGCCAAGGGCCGACAGTTGGCAGAGAGCCTCGCCAGCAAATTCAGCACAGGTATCCTGGGCCGGGGTAGAGTAGACCTTCAGCCCCTCCCAGGGATCGAGGCTCACGGGAGCTACACCGATCCACAAGTGACTGTCAAGTCTGGTGTCCTGCTTAGGAATCGCCACCTTGGGGCCATGGTAGTCAGAATGGGCCAGAGTGCAGCAGCAAGAGAAGTGCACTGGGTAGGGATGCGGTGATTACAACAGTTCCTCTGTCTCCCATGAAATACATTCACTAGGGCAGGAGGCATCACCAGGAATGATGACATTTTTCTGAAACTTGTTGAAAGAGAAACTAACAGAAAGAGAGACAGAACAGGGACAGCTGGTGGTTGTGAAAAGAACTTCTTCTTCTCGTCTGTATGTGGCCATTGCTAGCTCTGGACAGGTTTCCATTTCTTTGGATTTCTGTTTACTCACCTAAAAAGTTAGGTCAAATAATACCAGTCCCCGAAGAGTCCATGATTGTTCTAGGGATCAAATAAGCAATTTTAATGAGTGTACTTCAGAAAATAATAAAATAATCATGCTGACTTGGATATGATTGGGCTGTGTGTACTGGTACCTGGTGGCAGGGACATGAGTTATTTCACGAGTCTTTTACATAGAATTTTCTAGAATTTTCCCTAGAGTACCCAAGGGCACACATTTCTAGCAGGCTTGAGGCCACTGGGCTGTCTCCTGATGGTGGATGCCACCGTGGGACCAGGCAGGGTGTCTTACCTCTTCAGACACAGGAGTAGTTTCCACTCGGAAATGGATGGGACGCACATGAAGAACCAGGCAGCAGCCAAGTGGCTGGACTGGAATAGGAAATGAGACATTTTCAACTTTTTGCTCTTACTCAGGGCTGAGCAAGTAGAGGGGAAGGTCTTCACAGAGAGCTCAAGAGAGTCTGCCAGGCAGTTTCCCTGAAGATTTAACCCAAGAGCTCCTGGGGAAGCTCAGGGCATCCTGGACTCGAGTGTCCAGTCGTCATGTCTCTGACCCCAGAGACCAGCCAATGTTTGTGATCTGGGAAGTGAGACCAGCTCATTTGACCTGGCCTTTTATTTGCTTTTCAGATGACTATACAACAAAGAAGAATCAAGCAAAACAGATGCAACGGACCCTCTGGTAACCCAGAATTTTCAGGGCTTATGAAAACTGTGATCTGGGGAAGGTCTAGAAACAAGGGCCCAAAGATCAAAGGGGCAACAGCTCTCACATCCCATCCAAAACCCCAAAATTCTGGTCGCACCATCAAACCATTAAGTATCCTTAGAGACAAAATGGTCTCATTTCCAATTTTTAAAAATGTATTATTCTTCTGATTCCCATTCTTATATGAATTTGCCTGTTTGGCAATATGGGGCTACTTTAACCTAAATATCTCATCTTCAGAGTCTGCTGAACCCCAGGGAGCACCTCTGATTTCCCCTAGATCTTTTGAGACCGGAGTGAGATTATATCTGGTATCTTCAAGAGTACCTGATGCAACCAGCCACAGTTTTTATTTTCTTTTTTTTTTTAAAGATTTATTTATTTATGCATACAAGAACTGGGGTGCAGGTCAGAGGTGCAGGGGGTGAGAGGACCCACCAGACAAAGAGTGGGGAACAGAACAGGCAGATCAACCGAACTATACTGCTGAGGGGAGCAGCGGGCGAGGCAGGAGAGTCTGCTGCGCCATGTGAGTAGCTCCCTGGCCGGGGATCGAACTCATGCTGCAGTGGCTGAGGTTAGCTTCATTGTGCTGTGTCTTAACCTTGTGCCACAGTTTTTCCTTGTTAAAATATTCTGCTGTAGGACTGTACTTAGGGACAGAAGGCTGCAAGTTCCAAGACCCCTGAGAGACTGTGTTACCGGGGTTCCAGTTTCATAGCCCATTTCATGGATTATGTTCATTGGCTGGACTCTTCCAGGCCTCTGGATGGCTTGTGGAGGAAGCATGTTATTTAAAGGACCCACATAGATCTTCTCACAAATAAACACCCCAGGATGTTTGTGACCAAGGCCCTGAGTAACTATTGTCCCCTCCCCCACCACACCCCTCCCCCAAATAGGAAGGAATTGTTTGGCTTCCTCTTAAAGGAGCAGCCCCTTTACCTCTGGGACCCTCTGGCAGCTCTAGGGGCAGTGCAGCTATGCCTGAGGTTTGCCCACCAGGATTCTCAGAAGCTTTTATTTTCCCCTTTGTCTTTCCGATGTGGCCAGTATTCTAAGGGACATGCAGAAGAAGAGTAAAGCCCCAGAAGTCCTGGAGCCCAAACAGGATGCCCAGCCCCAGATTAGCTCCAGCAGCCAGGCCCAGCCTGCCAGGCCACCCGCCTCCCTGCTGCCTGCTGAGCCGGAAGCGCCCCCTGTGGGGGACGTGGCCAGTGAGTACCCCCAGATCCTTCCATTTCTGGATGTCTGGCTGTTAGTCTAGACCAAGAGGGGGCGCTTAGCAGTCAGGTACCAGGGGTGTCAGGTGTTTTTCTCCATTCCAGTGCCACAGGTCACCGGCCACTACATCCACGTGCTGTTGTCTTACCTCCTTACTCTGGACATTTCTAAGAGTGGCAATGAGTCCTGCTGTTGGAGGAGACATTTCTGAAGGGCCTCCTTGGGGTTACTCCAGCACTGAGGGTCACAGAAGCAGCTCAGAGAGGCCCTTCCTCTCCTGTGTCTCGCTACCTCCTGATGTTATAGGCCAGGAATCTTCATTCCAAGGATCACTTTCTTATCTAAGCTGCCATAACTAAGTATCTCATATAGAGTCTTAAAATCACAGGAATCTGTTCTCCCACAGTCCTGCTGTGCAGCTCCTCCCTGGTCAGGAGCCTCCCTGGACTTGTGGCTACATCACCGACATCCTCCTTTGTCACACTGTGTTGTCCCTGCGTGTGTCTTTGTCTCTGTCCCCTCTGCTCTCCCCTCTGGTGAAACATCAGTCACACTGAATTCAGGGTCCACCCTGATCCAGTATCTCATCTAAACTAATTGCATTTGCAAAGACATTTTTCAAATAAGGTCACAGTCTAAGGTTCCAGGTGGATGTGCGTTCTTGGAGGGCACATTCTGCCCAGTGTAATTGTAACAGGGTGGTCCCCAGGAAAGGGGGAGGTTCCAGGTTCCCTGCCCCACCCAAATGGAGGGTGGAGCTGAGCAGAGAGAGAAGCAGCTCAGAGGAGACTTAGAAGGAAGGAAGCAGGATGGAGAGGCAGGAGGAGACCTGGAGGAGGCCCATGGAGCCGAGAGACACGTGAAGAAACTGCGCTTGCCTTTTGGTCGTGGACTGGGTGACACAGATGTGGGTGAGACCCGTGGGGAGGTGACAGTGGCAGCTTTTATCTTGATTTTGATTTTGCTCTTTTCCTTCCGGGCTTGTCTGGTTGTTTCTGACCCTTTTCTGTGGGTCCCCACTGGAAGGTGCTTTAGACTTGCGGCAGCTTTGGGGCCTTGCTCTGGGCCAATCCCATTTGGATGGACTTTGACCCACGAGGGGACGGGTCACTTTGGGTGCTTCATTTAGAAACTAGATTCTTTGCCTTTCCTATATTGTTTCCTAGTTGTATTAAAGTTCCTTCCCATTAAAGTCTCACATGTTTTGTGTTGATGCGGCGGATCGGATGGCAGAACCCATTTAGAATAGGCAGGTTTGTGGGGTCTGGGCTGCCCCTCTCCCTGCCCTGTAACATAATCACCTTGAAAACTTCATCTCTGACTTCCCCACTTGTCTCTCACTCACGCTGCTTTCTGCACAGGTGTCGGCCGGGCCGCTCCTGCCGGGTCAGCGTCATTGCCCCGTGACCGCTCGGGAGCCGCAGCGGCTCAGCCCTTCTATGGCTGGAGCAACGCCGCCCAGGGGAGCAGGACACCGGAAACTGGGTGCCAGCGCAGCAGCGGCCCATGGGATGAGATGAGGCCTCAGAAAATGAATGCATCTGGAGACCTGTCCTCCTTCTCCTCTCTGTATCGACCCAGCTCCAAGCCCTCCGGTAAAATAAGGAGCAGTTGGTGAAAGAGACCCACACTGACGCTCCATTCCCGGCCAGGGCATTGTTCATTCCTTTGTTAGGCCCCGGCTCGCAGAAATGGGTGAAAACGTGAGGGGCAATGTCCATCCTGTGGGGTGGCCAGAGAATGCGATGCCAGCTGGGTGCCCTCAGGGCCCCTCCCACCCTTTGTGGGACTCACTCTGGGCAGGGAATAGAGGAATGCAGGGACACGGTGAGGCCACTTCAGGAAAGAGTGTTTGTCTCCCACTTCTGCCCTCCCTTCTCTCTGGGCTACAACATCCCTAGGCCTCTATTTAGAGTGGTTTAGAATGCTAAGCTCAGACTATGGTGGGAAAGGTTTCCTTAGGTCAAGAGCTATTATAGGATGCGAGCTACAAACCACCCCCACCTGGCCACCCCCACACATGCACACATACCCGCTGCATAAACCAGTGCTACCTCTCAGACTTTGCTATTGCACCCAGTGGTGAGGGGTGCAACCGTGTAGAGAAATGCCTTGAAGCAACTCGGTCTCTGGGACCCAGATAGTACAATGAGACCTTTGAAATTTGAAGAGATAAGCCTGGCCCTAAGCAAGATGTGCTGGTGGGTGCAACCTATTCTTGGTCCCCTCCCCTCCCGTCTGTATGGCTTTACCCCTTCCTCAGAGGTCCCCTTCTCCTCTGTTCCTCCCTCATGTTCTGATGCTCCCCAGGCTCTCCATGTTGCTCTTCACCAAGAGTGTTTAAGGAAAACATCCAGCATCAAACATATTCAAAGCCTAATCTGATTTCACTTGCATTTACCTTGCCTGTGAGGGGTAGATGTTCAAGGTGGTTCAGTCAGAATCATCAGGTAGGGGAGGTATGAAGTGGAGCGGGTGGCCCTCTGGGTTGTTCACAAAGAAGCTAGACAAGCTGCCCACTGCAGGCCAGCCCTACCTAGAGGCCTTCAGCAGCCTTTGTCACCCTTGTTCTCCCGCCCTGCATCCATCTCCCTCAGATGTGCTCAGCCTCTGTCTGGGATGAGGCCCATAGACTTAGCTTATCTTAGCTCTTGTCATTGAAAGCCCAGGAACTCTTTAAGCAAAGTTACCTGTGCTTCCTGGTGGCCCAGGTGAGAGAAGGAAGTTGACAGAAGTGTGACGATGGCCAGGGGTCTTACAGAGAAGCCTGAGCGGGCCCCTCGTCGGCCCATGAACCATCATCTTCCTGTGTCCTACCTTGCCCGTGTCTTGGTGGTATGAAACAGGGGCCGACCTGCTGGAAAAGAATCTTGCTGAGATCCAGAACTTGCGCCAGCGCCTGGAGGAGTCGGTCTGCCTCAACGACCGCCTGCGGGAGAGGCTGCAGCTCGTGCTCAGCAATGAGGACCAAGGAAAAGGTAGGAGAGGCCCGGGCCTGCGGACTCTGGGACACAACTGGACAGAGATTGGCAACTGGGAAGCACATGGGGGTTGCTCTTCCACTGTGGCTCACAATCAGACCAGGACTGGCCCTACCCCCACTTTATAAGCAAAGACCAAGGGCCTGTCCCAGGGGGCGCGGGCTATTCTCAGGGCTCTGATGGGAAGCCCCTCCTTGTCACTGCTTGTGCTGCTGGTGCTGCTCCCGGGCTGTAGCCTGGCTGGCCAAGTGATAGAACCAAGACTTCCATGATGCCCACTTCAGCAGCAGAAGTACCACACCCACCTTCATGGCTCTGCCGTGTGAGGTGCTTGCATCACTAGCCCTGGGTACTGCCTGCCCTTCCCCTATGTGAATGGCTGGTGTGCCCACTTTCCACTGTGCACCTCAGGATGCTCTCACTCAGACACCAGCACTTCCAGATCTTCCTCCCTTGTCCAGTTCAGAAAGAGGGACCAGGGCCCTGACAACACTGCAGCAGCCACCAATTAGGGCGACCCTGCCCCCCTGCAGCCATTGTATGTGAGTGTCCCCCCAGACCCCATGCCTGGCCACATCACACTGTGTTCCAGGGCATGAGGCTCCAGGTTTTCTGCCTGCCCAGACCTGAGACTTCTATGCATGCAGGAAAGTCAGTCTTTGAAAATACCTGTTACTCAAGTGTGTGGCTGGTCTGGGTTGTTTTTATTCCCTGTAACACTAGTACCTCTGGCTTCTATAGATAGAACCCGGGGTCCATGCCTCACCTCTGCAGCAAGAAATGGGCCTGTGGGGCAGAAAACTAAAGTTCCCAGGCTTATATTGGGCAAAATCCAAGCTAGGTCACTTCTTGATCACTTCTTGAGTATTACTAGGTCACTTCTTGAGTATTACTCCTGCTGTAATACTCAGCCACAGAAACAGAGAGGAGAGAGCTGAGGGTACAGAAATTATCCAGACCCATGTGGCCCAAAGTCACAATCATTCTTCTCATTTGGGTAAGGCTGCTACTTACCAGGCCCCACCTACAGGTCTCCAGAATTCAAGCCCCAGTAATGAGTAGCTCTGGAAAATTCACATTTCATGCGTAGGTCTCTTGTCCATGTTTGCAGACAATCAGAGAGTCACTGGCTATGAACTGGTGGTCAGTCTGATGTTTCTCCCTGCCTCTCCCACTGTCAGCCAGTGTGAATAAGGAGAGGACCTCCTTATTTGAGCAGTCAGGGAAGAGGATTCCCTAAGTCCCCCCAGACTTCACGGCAGCTCTGTCTCAATCCCTAGGTGCTGCGCAGCCAGGGACAGATGTCTTCCCTCATTCACACACACAGGGTCACGCTTCTGGCTTTGGTCAGGATGTCCTGTGACATGAGGCCTGGAGGACCTAGAGGAATGTTCTCCAGAACTTTGCCAGCCCTAAACAACAGTATTCTGGAGGCACCAAACATCATCTTTAAATGGATGGTTCAAATAAATAAATTATCATTTTCAAAAATTATTGTTTGCTTATATTTATTGGTTGCCTATAAAGAGTAAAATCTGTGCAGGAAAGAATTAAATCCAGAGTGGCCCGAGAATCATAAATAAGATGAAAGGAAACATGAGTTTTCTCTACTAACTCTTTCAGAAAGGAACCCCTTTCGTTTTTTAAAGATTTCGATTACCTCTTTTTCCAACACAATGTCAGGTCCCATAGTTCCTGGAAAAGGGAGCTCAGAAATATGCTGGGGCATGTCACAACAGCACCCCCTAGTTAGATGTGGAGCAGGGTGGGGGAATGGCAACTTGCAGAAGTGATTTCTCCTTGCCTTTGTACCTTCACTTTTCCATAATATTTTTTCGGGCTGTGAGGTGTCAGGGGCCAACCCTATGGTGCCGTCGGTTCTGCAAAACCTGGCAAGAGAGCCGGAGAGCGCGGATACGGCTCGGTGCCCGTGGGGACAGTGAGGAAGAGCCTGCGTGTGGAGAAGCCGCGAGGACCCTCGCTGGCCCGGCGCGCCCCACACCCTGGCCCACAGGCCGCCCGGGATTTAGAAACTGGTTGCTTTTAAGAGACACTAGCACGTCTTGCACGAATCTGTGGTTAACTCCTGCCCGCGGGTGGTGCCGTGCGCCCACAGCCTTCCCAGGAATTGCCCCTGAAGGCCGTTCCCTCCCACCTTTCTCCAGAAGAGGGGGCCCCCCTCGCGAAAGGCGAGGCTCTCCCGGGCGGTGACGCCCCATCGCCGCCCGCCAGCCGCCCGCCGTCTAGTCCTCCGCGCCCCGGCACCACCCGGAGACGCGCCCTGGCGCGCGGGGAGAAGGTCGCGGGGCCCGGGAGGGGACAGGGCGGCGGGAGGAGGCAGGAGGGGAGACCCCGCGAGGCAATCCGGGACCCCCAACATCTAAAGGACCGGGAGGAAAGAGGAACCGAGACTGACGGCGCGGACGTGGGCGCAGCGCTCTAGCAAAGCTCCCCATCCTGGACTGAATTCCAGCCCTTCCCCTACGACCTGCTGCGCCTGCACTGCCCGCCCCGGGTGGATGGTGGCGCCGTCCTCCGTGCAGCTCGGGCGAAAACTTCCGAGACCTGCGACGCGCAGAGGCACCTTCTTGGGCTGCGCGCCTCTCGCCGGGGTCCGCTCGGCCGCGCGCCCGCCGTGTCTTGGCTCTGAGCGGCTCCTCTTGGCAGGTCTGGAACCCACATCCTTCCTCGCGGGGCTGCAGAAATGCCCCGGGAGACGCGCCCTTGGATTTGTGGGACCCCAGTGTGTTTTTCTGGTGGCGCCCACCGGCCCTCCCGCTCCGGGGTAGCACAGCAGCCCCTCTGGACTGCCCGCGGCTCGGAGAAGGGAACCCGCGCGCTGCTGGGCGGGAGGAGAAAGACTACACAGAGCAGAAAAGGGACGTCCCGATCCAAAGCTACTCTGAAGCTCGCCTCTCCTGGAGCTCGGTCCTCCCGGGCTGGCGAGGGCGAGCGCGCTCGGACGTCAGCGGTCAGGGAAAGCGAAAATCATTGCACCAAAAAAAGGTACCCTCTGGAGAAAACGGCGCGTTTCCCCCACATGTTAACGTTTTATTCCATAAGGAAGCCCGGGCGAGGAGCGAGGGGGTGGGAATTTAAGTCTTGGCGCAGAAAGAAACTGCAGGGCGGCCATTTGCTGTGCGCCGAGACGGACCCTCCAGACGGGTTTCCCGCGGACACCGCCTTCACCGCGTTGCCGGCTGAGGTTAAAATTCGCGCTGTCACCTGTTGAACAAAAGTATAAAAGGCAAATAAAAGAAGTTTCAGGCATTTAAAAGGTAAAACCGGCCTCCCTAGTGCGCGAGGGGTTACGCACCGCACTAGGAAGCAATCCGCAGCCTCTGCAACACGAGTTCGATCCCCGGCCGTCCAGGGAGCTCCCCGCATGGCGCAGCAGACCTCTCCTGTCTCACCTGCTGCTCCCCTCGGCAGTGTGTTTCAGTGGATCCACCTGTTCTGCTCCCCACTCTGTCTCTGGTGGATCCTCTCACCCCCGCACCTTTGGCCTCTTGTACGCATAAATGAATGGGTCTTTAAAAATAAATAAATAAAAGGTGAAACCAAACTTTCTTCAAAAGCGTTTCAAGAACGACGAGGGGAAATCCTGGGGTCCGCGCGCGTGGCCCGTGTCCGCCACGAACGTGCCCTCGACGTGGCGGTCGCCCAAGCTCAGCCCAGGTCAGTAAAGGGGCTTAGTCCACGGAGGTCCGGCCTGTTGGAAGCGCCAGAGCCCTCCCTCACGGCCTTCATGTAGTGCCGGGCCGAAAACCCACAGACACCATCCGAGTGTTGGCCTTGTTGGGTGGAAAAGTGCGCGGGGGCGGCGGGAACCGGCCACACCCGCCATGCGCAGGGCGGAGGGGGGCGCGCGGGGAGCGGGGGCCGGGCGGGGTCCGAGCCCAGGGCGGGGAGCGGGTCCTGGGCATCCCGGTGCCTTAGAAGCCCCCGCTTTTACCACAGCCAGGAGCGCGGGCCGCGAAGAACCCCTCGGGGCTGCGCCCACACTGCCGCCCGCAGGGGCGCCCCGGGCTCGGGCCCCCGGACCTGCCGACCCCGCAGCCTCGCGAGCTGGGGAGTCAAAGGGCGGAACCCGCGCTCCGCGCTCCGCGCTCGGTTGTGGAACTCGAGATCCTGCATTTGAAGCGGAACCCCGAAGCCAGCTGTGGGGGCCCATGGGTCCTCGTTTCGGGGTGGCGCAGAACCCTAAGGCAGGGACTCTTGGGAGCGCAAACGCCATACCCTGGATAAAAACTTTTCTGGGATTAGGGACCAGACGACTGTGGCAGGATTTAGGGTTTTCATATATAAATCCTGAACTCCACCTTTCCGTCCCGTTTCCGTAGTGTAGTGGTTATCACGTTCGCCTCACACGCGAAAGGTCCCCGGTTCGAAACCGGGCGGAAACACTCCTTTTGTCCTGAAAATTACATTCCTGCTGACAAACAAAAGGGGGCGAAAGAGGGGGGGCCAGGGAGCTGGGCCTGCCCAGATGCATTTTCAATTAGCAGCAACTTTGGAGAAATTCAGTGACCCCCCCCTCAAGCCTGCTCAGCATTGCAGGAACCAGACTTGTGTCTGCCCCAAGTCGCACTGGAGACCAGGCCCCCACCCGCTACTCCAGGGAGCGCAGCAGCAGGTGGGTCTCCCGCTCCCTTTAAATCAAGAAGCTCCTGATCTTCTTATCTATTGCCCAAATACGCCCTACAGCCGGCAGGTGTTAAGTATCCAAAAACCAACAAGTTCTTTCCTGTGATGCTCTCTTGGCCTCTCCCCTTCCCCAGCACAGGCTGATTTGGAGATGAAACAAAAGAAATAGAGCCTAATATGCACCCAAGAGTGGAGATAAAGCAGAGGGTTGAAGAGTACCAGAAATTTAATCTGCTTTTAGACTTTTATCTGGAAGGTCAAATTATGGCTGCGGCCTTGCCCTGGTGGTCTAGTGGCCAAGACTCAGCTCTTCCACTGTGTTGCTGGGGGAAACCCAGTCAAGGAAATACTTTTCCTTATTTCTCATCTGTGGTGTGTCCCAGCGTCTACACCTAGATTCTTGGTATAAGGAACTGGGTGGTGCAAAGCGCTGGAAGAGTGAAAGGTGGTTTTTGTCCTGGCTTTGACCTGGCCCCAGCTCAGCCTTAATCCAGCTGTTGTGTGAGTACTCAATTGCCCCTAGAGCCCAGCTTCTAGTTCCAGGGTTCCAGTGGGTCCGAAGAAGCCAGTGATGGGGTATTTTCTTTCTTGCTGAAGCTGCAACTCACATACAAAAAGGTTTAGCTGTAGAAAAATTAGTGGTCTCAATGTCAGGCATAAAGAAGAAAATCAAGTTATTAATAAGACTGAGTCTCAAATACTTTTAAACACTTTTTAAAACTTCGTGAGGTAGAATGGCATAGAAAATGTTTAGGTCAGCTGTGGGCTCCAACAGGGCAGGGAACTTAGTTTTTGCACAGAATGCAGCTGTTCTCCCAGAGGAGGACTTGGCACCTCGTAAGCACCTAATAAATGGCTGAAGAGGAGAAGAAGAAACTGGATATGACTGAAATGACAGAGAGAGAGAGAGAGAGAGAGAGAGAGAGAGAGAGAGAGAGAAAGGTGAGCCAATAACTCTAAGGGTCCACGGTCAGGGTCAGGATTCTGTTATGTCTAATTTAGAAATATATGCCGCCCCCCCCCCACACACACACACCAGCACAAAAAGGAAGACACTGCACTGTTAAAAGGAACTCAGAGGTCAGGATGAGGAGTCAGGACTGGCCTGCAGGGCAGCAGGCTCCCAAGTCCTGTCTGGGCTGTTCTCGCCTGCGGTGCCCCAGCCAGGAGGGTCACTGAGGGGGGTTCTTCCCTCTCCCCTGGGCGGGAGCGTCTGCAAAGTGGAAACGAGCGCCACCGCTCGATGTTGTCAAAAGAGGAGAGGCGTCCCTGGGTGGGCTCGAACCACCAACCTTTCGGTTAACAGCCGAACGCGCTAACCGATTGCGCCACAGAGACAGGCGAGAGGCTCGCTTCTCGTGCCCACACAGAACAGGCCGCACGCGACGCCAGGCGGCGCCCCCCGCCGTCCGCAGCCCCGCGCGCCGAGAGGTCGGCGCCACAGGTGCGCGGGGCGCGCCCCGCCTCGGAGGCCAGCGCCCCGGAACGCGCCGGGCGGGGGCCGAGCGGGCCCGAGGGAAGGGGGCGCGGCAGCTCCCGGGGGGGCTCGGCTGCTGCGGGAAGAGCCGCCACAGGAGACCGGCCAGGGCCCGGGGGGAGACCCGAGGCCTCCAGCAAGCGGACCCCGCGGGGCGACCCTGCGGCGGGCGGGAGAGGCCGGAGCGCAGCGCCTGGAGGAGCAGCGCGAGCTCGGGTAAGTGTCCAAGAGCAGCGGCGAGAACTGTGGATGCTTGTCCGTGGGAACAGTTGCGGGGAGCAGCGTGGGGCGCGTGGCCGGGAGGGGCTGCTTCCAGGTGTGCGGTGGTCGCGCCCACGGGAACAACCCGAGGGCAGGCGGCGGGGGCGGGGCTCGGAACCGGCTTGGGGTTTGCTCTTAGTCCCGAGGGGCAGCGGCTGCGCCCGTAGCTGGGACCGGAGAGCAGAGGGCCCCCCGCGACTCCTTGCGGGCGGCAGAGGCGGGGACCCCACGCGCGCCGAGCCGGGGGCCCGGCCGGGTCCGAGTCGGCTGGGGTCTCCCTACCGAGCAAACACCTGCGGGGCGCAGGCCACCCCCGAGGGGCCTGCCTGTTTCCACTGGTGGAAAAGCGTGTTAAACCAACTGCAGATATCAGTGGGCGGTTTTTTTTTTTTTTGTTGCTTGTTTACACTACAGGAGAAGGAGCTTTCCGTGAGTTTACTGTAAGGGTCCGAAGTTAGGGTCCCCGCCGGGTGGCATCCATCCAGCACCTTCTGATTTTTATGGGAACATAATTATTCAGGTGCCTGTCGGGCACACGGAGGGCAGGCCCACGTCTTCAGGCTGAATTTGAGGGCAGAGCCGAGGAAGGGTGCAGAGAGCCCAACCCAGGCACCCCGCGGTGTGCGTCTGCACCTGGCTAGCCCAGGGGGTGTTCAGTGGCGCCCCTGCTGCTGTCCGCAGCCACCTGCTCGGATGCAGAGATGAGGGAAGGAAGGAGCTGCCAACCAAGTGCCGTGTTTCCCACGGGAAGACAGCAGGCAGCTCCTCACTCATCACACCTGGAGTTGCTACAGGTCGCGTCGGGCCCTCTGCTCTGAGTTTGGGAGTGGGAACAAAGGGTTCCAGCCGAGGCGGAAACACTGGATGCAAAGGTTTGAGGGGCAGTGTCCAGGCTCTGTTCAGGGCCCCCAGGCCTTGATGGAAAAATCCCCCTCTGCCCCCGCCATTTCTGCGAGTGTCAGGGTCCTGTTGCAAGGGTTGATGATGCAAGGGTACCTCGGCACCGCCTCACCCTGGGAGCCATTCCAGCCCCAGCCCCGGCTCCCCTCCCCGGCTCCTGGCACTTTTCTGGGGGCAAATTACCCTCTGGAGAAGGTTCATCTCCAGGTCAGTTTGGGCAGGAGCCGGAACTTTCCTAGACCCTGCAGTGACTTGCCCACCTGGCCGCAGGTGAGGTGCGCTTCTGGCGCCACAAAGCGCTGGGTGCGAGCTCGCCTTCTAGAAGGAATTGTAGGGTTCGACCTTTTAGATTGGCGCTTATGGGGCTGGCGGCACCTGGAAAGTGCGAGACCGAGCCCTCGAGCGCGAACCGAATGAAGTTATTTACAAAGAAAAGCGCAGGTGTCGTCTCCCTGGTGGTCTAGTGGCTAGGATTCGGCGCTTTCACCGCCGCGGCCCGGGTTCGATTCCCGGTCAGGGAAGCTTATTTTGTTAGCTCTCCTTGCATATAGGAATGTGGTAACGGTGTGGCCTGATGAAGAACAGTCTCGGCAACGTTTTGAACCCTGAAACGCAGATGAACTTCCAGACTGAACCTCCCCAACTTCCCTTGTCTCATTTGAAGCTATTTAAGATGGTGTCTGAAGCAACAGTGGCCGAGTTCCTTATTACACCGGGTCTCCCATCTATACAGGGGTCTGCAAGTTATTATTAAACTTCTCTGTGCTTTTTGTTTTGTCTGCCGCATGCTGCTTTGGTTATTGCCAGCCAAGAAACCTACCAGATAGCGAGGCTGCTTGTTTCCCCAAAATGAATGCAAGAAGAGGGATCAAGAACTTCTGATCCCGCCAGCAAGCATCGGAGCGGCCCAAATTCAGGACAGGCACCAAGCGCACCAGCTGTCTGGGCCTCTGGGTTCCGAGCTGGACTGATCTGCACACCTGGGGCGAGCAGGGCGCGTGGGCGCAGCCCACAGGCATTTGCAGCTGAGGGGGTTGGTGTAAACCAGAGCCGGATGCTCAGTCGCCTCTAAAAACACGTGTGCGCGTGGCCCAGCTGGAGATAAGAAGGTGTCCCTGCCTGTGCTGAGTGAGGAGTGGATGCAGCCGGCACAACGCTCCTCGCTGGCGCTAGAGATTTCGGCGGGAGGGGCAAAAAGCAATTCCCTGACCGGGAATCGAACCCGGGCCGCGGCGGTGAGAGCGCCGAATCCTAACCACTAGACCACCAGGGAGCTGGCAACTAACCGGCCTCCTGGATTTCTGGACTGGAGGGCTGTTTCCCTGAGCTGGCGAAGCCCTGGGTTTCCCGTCCAGGCAGGGCGCGGGGAGTGTCTGCTGCCCAGGGTTCCACAACCCTTTCCAAAGGTCACGCCCTCGCTGCTTCACTCCAAAGGAGCCGGAGGAGACTCGGCGCTCCCGAGGCGCGCCAGGCCCTCGAGCCCTGGAGCTTTGCCTGAAGAGCCGTGCCCAGAACTGCCCGGGGAATGCGCCTTCGCTAGGCCCAGTGGGTGGAGAGAAGTTCCCTGTCCCTGGAACCTGGGAGTGGATGAGGTTGCCAAGGGGCAGTGAGAAGGGAGGCGCCCGGGATGAGACCAGGATCCCCAATAACATAAAAGACTCTCAGAGGTGCAGCCTGTTTGACCAGCAGGTTTCTCACCTTAGTGGAGGCCAGCTCCATCCTTCCAGATGCTCAAGCAAACCCCAGAGCTTTCTCAGGTGCCAGTGTTCCACAGGCCCCACCTCCAACAATTCAGTAGCAGTTGTCTCCCACGTGTGGACTTGGATCTACACCAGGATTTCTCACCAGGGCACTGTTGATATTGATGTAATTCCTTGATATCAAGGGATTTCCAGTGCATTGTAAATATTCCCATGCCTTGTAGGCTGGTGCTTCCTAGGTTTCTGCTTAAACTATTCCAGAGCATGCTGTCATCAGGAATGAATTTGAGATGTGATAAATTAAAAATTAGATTCCAAAATTACTATTAAAAATTTTAGAATTCAGCCATAACCCTAAGGTAGAAAGATTTCTTAGAAACACAAATCACCTTCATAATAAAAGGAAAAAAGAAAACTTAAGTGGATTTAATAAAAATCAAAAACTGTTCATCAAAAATTACAAGTAGGGCCTCCCCGGTGGCGCAGTGGTTAAGATCTCAGTGCTATCAAGCTATCGCCAGCCACTGAGGCATGAACTGACCCACATGGCACAGCAGACCTCTCCTGTCTCAACTGCTGCTCCCCTCAGCAGTGTATTTCAGTAGATCTGCCTGTTCTGCTCCCCACTCTCTCTGGTGAAACCTCTCTCTCCTCTCTCTCACACATATACTCCTGGCCTAGACCCCATATCCATTAGAATGTGTAAATGCAAAGTACAGAGAATACCAAATCACAGGAGTTGGTATTTCCCACTTGCTAGTGGGAAACCATTCTACAAAACTGTTGGACAGTTTCTAATTAAGTTAAACTTGCCCCTACCCCATGACCAATAACCCCAGTGCTTGGTGTGTGCTCCAGGTTGCTGAATATACCTGTCCCAGGCTAGACTTGTTCCAGAATAGTCATGCAGCCTTCTTTACACAGCAAAGTTAGACAGCCTATCAGCTGTATCACACAGAAATCAATGACATCCAAAGTAACCACTGATACATGTAACAAATGGATGCATTTCAGAAACAATAGAGGATAAATACAGCCAGGTACTAAAAAAAGAGCTTCTCTATGAATTTCAAGAAGAGACAACACTAATCTGTGGTGTCAGACATCAGAATAGAGATTAACCAAGTCGAGGGGTAGGGAGGAGGCAATTGTTGCAGGAAAAGGATGAGGCATATTTCCTGTAATGATCTGGGTGGTGGTTGCTTTAGTCAAACTATAATAATCAGCCTAGTTCAGATTTTTGCATTTTACTCTGTGAATTACAGTTCAGTAATTTTCTGTTAGCATGAACACGGGGGTGGGGGGTGGAGGTAAACCCTTGAAGGCTATGACAAGGACTTTGGATTTTATTTTAAACACATTGAGCTCACCCTGGTTTCTTTCAAAGAGCCCCACAAATACATCCTAGCCAGAAAGACGACTATGATGACACCATCTCATTAATGGAAACTACGATCCTTAGTGGGCTTTCCAAGTTTGGGGCGCTTTCTGCTCAGACTCAGGGTTGGTACAAAGTTCCCAAGGACCCGGCACTGGGTGTGTTTCCTGGGGGTTTTTCCCTGCGTTCCCCAGACTGCAGCCCCTTGTGGACTCGGGTCAGCCTTGCTCTCTGGCCTCAGGTAAAGGTGGCAGTCAGTGCAGGAATTAAAAGCAAACCCAAAAAACGGCCCCTGGCTTCCAGGCACTGCAGTTTGGGATTAGCCTGGAGGTTACTGCCGCCACAATGTGGAGCACTAACCTACCTGGCAGAGGCTGAGATTCCCTTGTTTTCAACGTAAAAAGGCATATGGAAAGATCCTGAAAATCATTAATCTCCAATTAAAACTGTTGCCAACCCCCCAAAATTAAGTTCCTTCCCAGGCACACCATTAAAATGAATCACTGAAGCATGGTGCATGGAGTAGAAAACGTTTATTTGAGATAGCACCAAGAAGATAAGAGAAAAATTCTCAAGTCAGCATAGTTACACATTACAAAGGAGAACAGGGTGAGTGGGACTCGCAGGAGGGGGATGCAAGGGGGATTTGTGGTTTCATAGTCGCCCTGCTAGACTCAGGAGGGCCAGCAAAGTCTTGAGTTACTTGTTAAGATGGATTCGTGAGTCATCACGTGGGTTAAGCTTCATCCTATACAGAGACAGAGAGGCCAGCACGCTCGTTAGCTAAGACTGGGGAACAACATGGGAGTGTGTTTACCAGCGGGCAGGTCAGCCTGTCTGCCCCAGAGAGACCAGGTGTGCATCCATCCTTAGCGTGCAGGGGACCTGCTTCCCTCCGCTTCATGCAGGTTAGAGTGGGGCCTGGTTTCATAACCACAGTGACCTACACTACACAGCTACTAGAATTGCCCAAAAGACAAAAACACCTAAAAATAGCAAGGAGTGATATTGGGGAACAGTCAGAACTCATAAGGTGAAATGGCATCAGCTCACTGGAAAACAGTTTGGCCGTTTGTCCCCCACACACACACACACACTATCCAGCTATAAGGAAAAACAAAAGTTCACCATTTACAGCTGTGGAAGCAGGTCGAGGGGATTCTGTGTAGCAAAATAAGTCAGAGAGACAAGGACACATAAAGGACATTTTTAGGTATGTGAAAAACAAGAAATCATAGTGTACACACTGACGAAGCAAAGTAATTCTAAACTAATGGACACTCAGATGAAGTCTGAGAAGAAGAGCTGGAACCGCTTGAATCTGAATGCAAGTCTCCGGCCCCACGTTAGGGATGCTCTCGGCTAGTATTCTTTAAATTTAGCTCTCCCCCGTCCTCCTCATTGCCTTTCCAGACATCTCTGTTTCTACTCCTGTGTGTTCAAAGGCTCTGACTCAATCAACTGCTTCTTTTGTCTACCGCTGGTCTTTTTATTGTATTTTTTAGTTCAGTTATAGAATTAAGTCCATTATCTCCACCTGAAGCTTTCTCATCTTTTCTCTATCATTGTCGTAATTCTCATTGTAGTCACTGATTATTTTCCTTATTTCAATAGGCATAGTTAGACTGTTGCTTTAAACTCTCAGGCAAGCTGCCTAGTTCTATTGGATTTACATTTTTCCAGGGGGTTTTTGTTCCATCATTTCCTCTATGCCTACATTTTTAGTTTTTATGGGTTGAGCAAAACAGCTTTCTCTCCTTAACTTGATTTGTTGGCCTTATGTTATGATGACAGGTTGCAGGGTATAATCCTGGGTTGTTTGCCCAGGATCCTGGGGTGTCTGCTGCTCAATGGAATAATGCCTTTGTACCTCTGGGACAACTGGAACACTGGTGCTGACAGAGGGTGGGAGCCAGGGCAGCAGGGAACCAAAAGGTGGCTGTGAGAGAGTACCAGGAGTCCAGACCTCCTAAAGCGCCATGGTGTCCAAGCTGGGAGGGGGTTCTGAATGACCCCTTCCCCTAGGCCAGTTCCTCAATCAGAGAATCCCCAGTAGCATCAAGTTAACACTGATTCCCCAGCTATCATTCAGCTCTGGCTTGTGGATTCTGCAATCAGTACCTCCCCCAGGGGTGCAGGCAGGAACCTGGCAACCAGGTCACAATCCCAGCCGTGACCACTGGTGGAAAACAGGACGTGTGTCTCTCAGGGCCTGCAGGTGTCATCTGTAAAAGGCTGCCTCCCTTGAAAACCTCTCTCACTCTTCTCTCAGGGATTGTAGCACTGGGAGGGGATGCAGTGGGTGTGTTCCCAGCAGCTTCCACATACTGAGCCTTCCTTGAGGCACAAGCTTCTGCTGCTGCGAGGGCCCAGGTGCTTTAAATTCTCACTACAGGCAGCAAGCACAGCCCCCAATGTTAGCCTAGCAACAGCCCCAGGCAGCGGGTGGGGAGGGGTAGATGGATGTTTCTGCATAACTCAGAAGCCAGTTGCAATGAGAATCCGCCCTCTCACATGCAAGGTCGCGGGTGGAACTCTTCTCGCTCACATCAAGGTCTTCTAACCAGGTCTTTCCCTCAGGCTGAGCTTCAGCTGCCGACCTCCAGGTATAGGCTCAAGCTGACTGTCCCCCCTTAGATAAGGGCTATGCTGGCAGTTGCACAGACTGTCAAGCACACCTAGTGGCAGGGGTGCAGGTGTTGCACCCTAGGGCCCCGACTCCTTGGCTCCTGCCGTTAGTATGGCATCTGCCCTGTGGGCATCTATCTGCTCCTCTGGCTGCAGACTGCAGGCCTCTACTTCCCCAAATCCGACAATTCTCTGGAGGTAGGGCCCTCCCTTTCCCACAACTGGTAGTGTGCCCCCCTCCCCAGGGCAGTCCCCAGGTTCTACAGTTCCCAATGTACGCGTGAGTCCTTCAGTCACCAACAAAAAAGGCTCAGTGTCTCCGCCGTCCCTGCCCTGGGTCATGCTGCCCTGGCTTTCTCCTAGCAAAATCACATTGCAGTTTTTCCTAACCTCTCTGCCAAGTCACTTTGCTTTGTGAAAGTGATAATCCTACAGTTATCCTCCAGGGACTGTCGTTGTTGTTATTTTAATCTGCATAGTATTTTGTTGTATTTGTAGGGAGAATGTGAACTTGGCATCTTTACTCTTCTGTATCCTGCCAGAACTCTTAGAAGTTTCTTATAAGTCAAACATACACTTACCATGTGACCCAGCAGCCCTGGATATTTACCCAAGGGAAATAAAGTGAAAATATTTTCACACAAAGAATATCCGTATGTGAATCTTTATAATGATTATTCACAATTGCCAAAAACTAGAAGCAATCCGAATGCCCTTTAGTGGGTGAATGGATAAACAAAAAATAGTGCTCTGCATAATGGGCAATATTCAGTGATAAAAGAGGAACTGATAACTGACACATTCTGGAGCTAGAAAATCTCTAAGGACAGAAAATAAATCCATTGGTTTCCAGGGAGAACTAGGAGAAATAGTTGACTACAAAGAGAAATAAGAGAACTTTTAGGGGTAATGGAATCTTTCTATATCTTAGCTATGGTGGTGCTAACATTTCTCAAAACTCACAAAACAGACACAAAAGTGGGGCATTTTATTATATAGACTTGTCCTTAAAAACTAAAATCAATTGGATGCTGCTGGTTTCTGCTTCGGAAGCCTGAGATGAAGGAGGCAGTGCTGGCGATGTAACCTCCAGCCCTGCCCACCGTCTTCACCCTACCTGTGCTGATGCTGGCCTGGTCATTAGAATGTGATGTGAAAAGCCAAAGGGTGGCTAAGTGGCTGAAAAGTCAGTCTTAGAGCTGTGGAGCCATGGGGTCTTATAAGAGAGTAGGACCTTGGAGACAAAGGTCTTCAAACTTACCAGTGGAGAGTTTGCTGGCAAGGCTTTCTGCCAGCTGGCTTTCTTGGGCCAGCTGCTGACAGAATCTCTGTCCCTGGCTGTGGGCAATATCAGTGCACCTGAGGAGGGCTTCAAAAGACTTGACTGTGTTCTTCACATGCTGGGTGAAAAGATAACAGACAACTTTACCTTCCTGGATCCTCTGTCGTAATTGAGTCAGTTGTTGGGCCTGAGCTTGAACTAGGGGATCATAGGACCTAAGGTGAGAAAACAAAATAAAATGTAAGCGCAGATGTAGTGAATGGCAGAGTGTCCCCAAGGAATTACCCAAGACCGTTCTTATACAAGTTGTGTGACATGCCTGTGGCAGAAGAAATGGGGAATAGCATTGGGCTTATTTGTTTATGTTTATTAACTTCATTTCAAAAAGACATCCCTTCAGTTCCTCACTTCAATGTATGTTCATTGCCATGTAACATACATCATCAAGCCTCATGCCTAAAGAGGCAAATGGAGGAAGCACCAGATACAGAAGAGTTGGGCAGGCACGTCTGGTGTTCACTGAAAAGAAAAATCGATAAAAATATCAAGAAGAATAACATTCTTTGGATTGTCATGGAGCTAAGCTATAATCAGTAAGGAGACACTTAAGAGTAAATAAATGTTCTAAGTAACAATTTAATTACTTTATGTGGGATTTCACTATTTTCCCTATTTCACTATTTTCTAATTTTATGCAAATATTCCCCATTGACTCCAATCTAAATGTGAGCTCTCTGAGCTAGAGGCAGTGTTGCGAATCACCCAGTTCACAGTACCCAAGCACACCCACACCGTAGGCGTTGCTTTAATTGATTCTTGAATCTCTTCCTTACTGTCCTACTGATTGTCTACAGACTGTCTTATAAATCCTATTCCATAGAGTTCCTATAAGGTGTCAGGAGGGGACAGCATAGATTAGGAAGAAATGGGGGTTCCAGGCCTCTGCCCCTTTCAAGTATCTTTGCTTTAGTGGGTTTTTCTCATTTCACATTTCTCAGATTTTATGTTAGCAAAGGATTAAAAGTTGTCTTGAGTGCCACAATCTACCCTATAATATTTGAAGCCCTCTAAGAATGAGCAATCCTTGTCCTCAGCAAATTAATAGTTCATTTCTCAGACAACAGCTGCTCAATTCCCTATTTACCCAATGGCCCTACCAGCTAATACTCCACATTGTTAGGAAAAGATCAAAGTTGGAGAAGAGAGAATTGTTATCATGAAAAGGCATTTTGGAAAGCTTGGGAATATGTCTTGTACTAGGAAATGTTGGTTTGCTTATGACAACCACCACACCTATAACAATAAGAACAAGTAAAATAATTACAGCAAGTATTTGTTGAGAGCTCATATGCGTTAGAGACGGTTTAACCACTTGTCATTGAGCACTTCATCACTGTCTGCAGTAGACACTCAGTATTTTAATTTTACAGATGAAGTAGCTAAGGTAACTGAGACACAGGAAAGTTAAATAAATTTACTCATGGTCAAAAAGTTAGAAGCCATTTGGCAACTCTTTTAACCCCAGGCCTCTGTCTCTGTTTTATCTGTATGTTATTCCAGGGAGAACTCTAACGGGGCCATCATCCGACCCCCACAGTCCCACTGGCTGTCTCCCGCTAGTTCTGTGCTGCCATGTGCACTTCTGCCTTTCTCCTCACACAAACTTGCTCTTAATTCCATCAGCTAGATGGCCCCACTTCAACTAGTGATTCAAACACTTATCAGCACAGGTGCCTCCTTACCCAAGATTTGCAGCTGGCCTCGTTTTCTCTGCTAGATTCCCCTCCTCAAATGGCACTTTTTCCTCCAGCATGGACTCGATGAGGGCCTTGTACTGTTCACATTCTGAGAAAGGACAGAGAAGCCTGCCTCAACACAAAGCCGGGTGCGCTGGGGAGGCAGGATTCATCCAAGAACAGTGTGACCCCAAAGCGGGGATCTCTGTTTGGATTTCTTATCTGACTCCTCAGTCTTCCCAACTAGATAACACCTCATTACACTCCCTTCTAGAGATGAGAAAAGAGAAGCTTTTTGGAGGGTGAAATACCTTGCTCAAGGTGATTCAACTGGAATGAAGTGAAGAATTCACACCCCCGGGGTCAGACTCCAAATCTTGGGCCATTTTACCAAATTTTGCAACCTCTTAAGTAAAACATTAACCTGGGGCAACAGTAGTGGTTTTCAGTGTGTCTGGGAAGGCACCAAAGACTGTAAGAACAATTATTCCCCCACGTTGATAGCACCAGTAACCTCCCTGACATTTTAAGAGTTTAAAAGTTAATTTGGGTACAAATCTGCATAAAAAGGTACATGAAGAGGAAAAACGTCTCTGAAAGAAACATGTTCAAATGGTAAAAGGTATGTTAGGTGAGAGGCAGAACTATTGCACAGAGTTTGCCATCACTCTGTTCTCGTACATTCTCAGGAACGGTCATCAGTTATCATCACACCACCTGAAGGAGTAGGTACTATTACTACCATATAGATGAGGAAACTGAGGTGCAGAGCAGATAAATAACTTAAATTTGAACCTAGGAAGTTCAGTCTCAGTAATACTCTGTTTTTTTTTTTAAAGGGAAATGGTTTCTGATGATTTATTATTTATGTGTATAAGAACTGGGGTACAGGCCAGAGTTGTGGGGGGTGAGAGGATTCACCAGAGACAGAATGGGGAGTAGAAAAGGTGGATCCACTGAAATACACTGCTGAGGGGAGCAGCGGGGAGATAGGAGAGGTCTGCTGTGCCGTGTGGGTAGCTCCCTGGCTGGGGATTGAACTCGTGCTGCAGTGGCTGTGGATAGCTTCATGGGCTGTGTCTTAACCCTTTGCATCACCAGGGAGGCCCCAGAGTAATACTCTTAATCACTGCACTGTGTTACCTTGACACTGAGATCTTGGTTATTTTTTTCTTCTATCTCAAAAAAAATTTCCTTCAATTGTACTGCAATTATAATGAATGATGAACTTTTAAAAATCCTGTATTATCACATCCTATACTTATCATTTTATTTCTGTAATAAATAGGCCTTAATTTGTACCTGTCTATGATAGTAAGTTGGATAGCAAATTTGACTGAAAAATAATTGTAGAAATTTAAAAGCAAACTCAACTGCAGTATCAGCAAGAATCCTCATCTAATGTCCCTCTTCCCTGCCGCCTCCATTCCCAAGTTCCCTGCAGCCACTACAGTGCTTCTCTGCCCCATGCTCTGAAAGGTTTGGGATTGTCCAGTGGATTTACAAATGTGAAAACTGGCCATGGAAAAGGAAGGGTCAGCCCCTGCACTGGCCTGACCGACTCCCAGGACTGGAGGCCTCCTCCGCTTGGCCTCATTCCCATTTTACCCTCTTATCTCAAAACCCAGATCCGGACGGTCCACCTGGACTTACTCTCTGCATATTCAGGGAGAGATGGAACAGGTGTTACAGAGTCTCACCAGAATGCGAGTAATATCTTCTTTGAATTTATGTGGGAAAAGAATCTTGATCCAAATATCAGGATTTCCCTTTGTGTCTATTGATGTTCTTGTCTCCAAATACCTGTGGTTCAGTTGGAAACACTGGTTTTAGGCTGGTGGGTGAACTATTCTTTTTGTCTCCCCTAGTGTGGCTACCACAGTGTTTTGCGAATGGGTGCTCAGTGCAAGTATGAATTGAATCCTGAGATATTTAAGCCAACAATGATAGTCTGTAGACTCTGACACATGTTCTGGAGAGAGAAAAGACAGAGCCTCCACCAAACTTTTATCTCTGTTCCTCTCTACATTTTCACTCAACTTGACTCCTTTGAGCCTCCATCCTCCATTTCTCAGAGGGAAGATGGACAACCACATGTCATCTGGTGACCAGCACCCAGTAGGGCTTACTGTATTTCTGCAGCTGGTTGGCCAGGGAGTAAGCAGTAGCTTTGGACATGAGGAATCTCTCTGTGAGATCCCGGAAGTTCTGTTTGCATTGCTCCAGCTCAGAGCGCAAGTACTTGTTGTCTTCCAGGATGCTCATTTCTGCCCTTGAACCAGAGAAAGTGGGACGAGGTGCTGCCATGCTGAAGCTTATGGGGGAAGAAGTAGAACCTGAACCTGGGAAGAAGAAACACAAACAGATAATAAGTTAAAAACAAGGGAATGGATTATGGTAATGATTGCACTACCTGGTAAATTACTAAAAAAACAAAAAAAATTATACTGTGTAATTATAATTACACATTATAATTATAATTTTTTAAGTATGTAAATTATCTCTCAGGATAGTTTGAGGGGGAAAAGGATTTAAACCAGCCTAAACAATGCAGATATAATTCATACTTACCTTTGAGCGAAGCTTTGTCAGCATTCCACAACTCTGACAATCCTTAACCATACATAAAGGTACAGATGCCAAAACTTGGAGCTGAAGTCACTGTGAGTAACTCATGCTCTGATAAGAGTGTTGGAGGGAAAGCCCAGCATGCCAGGTAACCATCTGGAGTTGCAATAACAGAACTGGAAGGTGGGGGTGTCGTGGAATCTCTGGGGCCCCTGCATTCTGGTTGCCTCGGTGTTTTGAGCTACCTGTTCCTCTTGAAGGTCACCACCTCAGCAGCCATGCTCAATAGTTGTGTTCCCTTGTGTTGATTCCACAGATCCAAAATTTAAGCATTTTTACACTTTATTTTTGTGTTTTGAAAACTTTGATAAATCAATATTTTCCCAAATTCTTACATTGTCTTGAAGATTGTCATGAAGTCACTTTTTCCTCATGAGAATTTATTTTTTTTAGTAGTCCTGGTGTTCATCATTGTTCTGCTCTAGTTTTTTTTCTCTTTTTTAATATGCAGGAAATAACCTGAGTACAAGACTGAGTGTATGATTAATTAATTTATAAGAAGGATTTCTGTCCTGATTGTCTAAATTTTCTTTTTGCTACTATCCCAGTTTATATTGACTTATTTTTCCACACTGGGGAAGCCAAATGCTGGCTTTTCATTAAATGTTGGAGGCGGCATTGGTTAAGGATTATAGTTGAGACCGGGGCACAGGCCAGAAATTATTCTCATTTCTTTTCCAGTACAAAATCTTATCTTGGAGCATTTGCTCCTGTTGTTAACAGGAGCTCAAACTCTGGTCAGAAATATTCAATTGTTGTCCCATTTTAGCCCTGCATAGGGTCATGGCAGGGGTTTTGAGTCCCCCCGCAACTTCCAAGGCCAGTAATAGCCTTTTCCTTGAGGAGACATGTGGTGTTGGGCAACACCACACTGATAAAGAAACGGGAGTCGTGGAGCAGGCTACATAATGCAGGATGCTGCTGAAGAGCAAGATCCTGGCCCTTTTATTGACACAGGGTATTGGTTGTAAGGGGGAGGTGCAAAGGAGATTAAAGAGAAGGAGATTATAGAAAGGGAAAGGGTGTAGGGATTGTAAATCTGCCCTCCAGGCACTTCTCATCTACTTGATGACACACCCTAATCCCCAGCCATGGTTTTAATCTTATCAAAAAGGCGTTCCACCGATCAGCTTCTGCGGTCCCTTGTCATACATTGGTCCTCGGCACCCCGGGCATTCCTGGTCATATCTCGTGATGCACAGCCTTGCCAGCATGATCCAGCTTTGTGCTCTTGTTTGAAGGGCTGAAGTGTTGGGCTCCTGTACCTAACTGGCTGGGCCATTTTGATCTTGTTTAGGTGACAAAATGGCAGCTGCATAGGCTGCCTAGGAGTAGCAGACCTGCAAAACACAGGTGATCTAAGCTGTTTCCCCTGCCACTTTGGGTCCTAGTTAGTCTATATTGAGGTCTTTGGGCTCATACCAACAACCATTGTCTGCATTCCTGCTCTCAAAGCTTTCTAGCAGTGCACCCTCTGTCCTGGAGGCCAACTCTGTGCCCCCCCTTATCCAGAGCAGTGTCTGGTCTCCAAAGCTTGTAATATGGGTATGTATTCCTGAATGGAAAGTTGTAGAAGCACCCCAAAGAGCAGTCCCACCCCCTCATAGGTTATATTGTCCTGGTAACAGTTCTATTGAAGGGTTTCCTACCCCTTTCTACCCTGCCACTGCTGTGTGTGTGCACTCCACATCTGTTCATCTTTCAGGGCTACAGCCTCATTGTGCTAGCTCAGGAGGCAACCCCAGCATCTTCATATCCCACCATCTTTCTTGGCTCTTCACTCTAATTTTACTGGAAGTTAATTTTCCTAAAATGCCTTCACATGTTTGGTAGTATATATATATATATATATATATATATATATATATATATATAATATTCTAGCTTAAAAATAGGCTTCCTTGCTTTTCTCTAGCTTCATGTTCTTTTTAGACCTTTGATGAAATTCTGAGTCTCAATCCTTTGTTTGGAGTCTTTCTTTTTCTTTAGAATCCCTTTGAGTCTTTTCTTCATGTCTGACATTCTGACATTCCAGGATGGCAAATTTTATAGGTTCTTTATTCCTTCTTTGGGCCTGCAATCCATCTAGTCTTTCAGTAAGGTAATGATTTTCTCACATTGCGAGATATTTTCTCAGAATGATTATTGGATCATTTCTTCTCCTTTGTTTTCTAAGGAAGTAGAATTGATTTCTATTGGGTGATGGCATATTATACCTTCTTCATAGGAAACCAGTTTTTTCATGAGAGAGATGTAGTTGTTTGTTTTATAGAAAATATTACCAGATATCAAATTATAAAACATATACACCCACATTATACTCAAACTTGGAGGATATCAAAAAGTCAACCCTATTGAAAAGTTCGGGTACACCTGACCAATCTCTGCTGTCCCAATGGGTAGTTCCAAGAATGATATCCAATTTATAAGATTGCTAAAAAAGAAAAATATCATTTGGAGAATAATTTTCAGGACTATTTCCCTCATACTCTTGAGTCTTTGGAATTTATTACAATCAATAGATTTGTGTACACAGGCAAAAACAGGGTGTATTCCTGCAATAGATGAAATGATAGTATTCCTGGGTGGGAAGAATTAATATTATCTTACCTAAAGCAACATACAGATTCAGTGCAATGTCTATCAAAATTCAATGATGTTTTTAAGAAAATAGAATTGTAGTGAAATTTATATGCAACCACCAAAACCCCCAAATACCTGAAGCAATCTTGAGGAGAAAGAAAGAAAATGGAGTCATTATGCTCCCCAACTTCAAAGCATATTTCTGAGCACCAGTAACAGAAATAGTATATTACTGCGGTAAAATAGACACATGGGTCAGTGGGATAGAATTGAGACCCCAAAATAAGGCCACACAAATATTGACCATCTCTGACAATGGAACACAACCATACGGAGCGACCACAGCGGGACTGCGGGGGGACAGGGCCCTGTGGGGGCAGGCGCGGAACCCTAGGCAGGGCCTCTCCGGATCGCGGTTTTCGCAGCTGAGGGCGCTGGGGCGACCCGGCGACCTTGTCCTGGGGCGGCGGGAAGCACCGCGGCCTCCAAGCGTCAGGGGCTCGGCCCAGACGGCAGCCCGGTTTCCGTAGTGTAGTGGTTATCACGTCGGGGTCCCCCGCATTCCCATGGACACAGTTCCCTTGCCCCCGGGACCCTCGGCAGCCGGCCTCCGGGCCGCGCCCACCACCCCGGCCCGAAGCCCCTACTCGTCTCGTCTGCGGCCGCGTCTTCTCTGCGGCCCCAGCTCGCCCGTCCCTGAGGAACAAGGTCTTTCCGCCCGGGCGCTCTGGGCGCGCCAGCCCCGCACAGGGTCGGGACAGGAGGGTGCGGGGGCGCAACAGCGGGGACCAGCCTCGTGGCGCGGGGGCTGCGGCCACAGACGGCCGAGGAGGAGGAGATTCGTGCTGCGCCCTGGACGCGGGCCCCGCGCCAAGCGGGCGGCCGTCAGGAGGCCCGAGGCCCCGAAGGACGCGCGCCCGGACCTCGCGGGTGACAGTGACGGCCGCTGCTTTCCACGGAAACGCGCCGGGGCGGGGCCCGCGCCACTCGCCTCCTCTCTGGGCTGCGCGATCGGCTCCCCAGTCGAGAGCCCCGCGCGACGCCTCAGGGGCCCTGGTGGAGCGGCGGCGCCCCTGCTCTTTGGGGGGTCTCCCTCCAAACGGGGCTCAGCGCCGCGCGGCTGGAGGCGGGGGCCGTGCCGTCTGCAGGGGCCTCTCCGGGACCCGACGGCGGGGCCCCTCGGGCCGGGGCGGCGCCCAGGGAGCTGTGCTCACCCGGTGGTGCAGGCAGCGCCCCGCGCCGTCGGAGCGCGCGAGGTCGCTGCTCCAGGCCCTGGCGCCTGCCGGCCCCTCCGCTCCTGCCTGCTCCTGCGCGTCCTGCGGGGACCTGGGGGTCGGCCGGACAGAAGGCCGAGGAATGCTCGCCTGTGCCTGGAGGGCGAGGGCGGCGGCCGGGGTGCCGGCCACGCCAGAGGAGTGTTGGCAGGAAGGCCGCTTCCGCGCCGCCGTCGGGGCGCCGGGTCGGTGCCGCCCTGTGGCGGGGGGGGGGGGGGGGGCCTCTTCTGGCCCCGGCCTCGACCTGGGCGAGGGGCTGGTGCCCGCGCGGCCGTTTCTGGGGCCCGCCGGAGTCCAAACAGCCGGACAAACGCCGGCCGCAAAAGGAACTCGGAAGGGCGGGAACGCGCCGGTGCTGCACAGGCCGGGGCGACAGGAGGGTCGTGGAGGGCTCTCCTCTCCGCCCCTCGCGAGCAGGGGGGCGGGCTGGAAGCAGCGCCGTCGCCTGCGGGTGTCAAAAGGGCGACAGGCGTCCCTGGGTGGGCTCGAACCACCAACCTTTCGGTTAACAGCCGAACGCGCTAACCGATTGCGCCACAGAGACCTGCGGGCAGCGCGCGTCGGGCGCCGGCTGAGAGGCGCGTCCCCCAGGCTCCGCCGAGCCGCGGGGCTGCGGGCGCGCAGCTCGGACCCGGGCTCCCAGCGCGCGACAGCCGCCACCCCGCGGGGCCGGGAGCCAGTGCCGCCGGCGCCCGGTCCGCTCAGCGACGCCCAGGTCGCCCGACGGGCTCCGCACCCGCCTGGAGGCCGCGCCGCCGAGGCCGCCCAGGGGCGCGCGAGGGCGGCTGAACGGCCCGGGTCTCCCCTGTCGCTCTTCCCTTTCGCTGCGGCCGCGCCCCACCTTCCGCGCCGCGGGCGCTCGGCTGCTGCGGCTCCGCGACCGCGAGAGACCGGGGCGGGGCGGGGACGGGCTGGGGTTCGGGGGTGTGGAGGGGCAAGAGCAAAGTCCAGGGGGGCAGGAAGCGGCGGCGTCTGCTCCAGGCCGGGAGCCCCGGAGGCCCGCGCAGAGGCTCCTGCCGCAGACGGCGCGCCCGGGCTGTCGCCACGCGGGGCTGGAGAGCCGCGGCCGTCCGACCACGGGAGGGCGAGGCCCCGGCCCGCGCCGGCCCAGCGGGCAGCCCGGGCGCCGGGCGCGGGCCAGGAGGCGCCGAGCGCGCGGGCTGCCGGCGCGGGCCGCGTGGCGCGCCGTGATCGTATAGTGGTTAGTACTCTGCGTTGTGGCCGCAGCAACCTCGGTTCGAATCCGAGTCACGGCACTCGGCCCCTCGGGGCCCGCCTCCTCCTTTTCCCGGCCCAGCCCCGGCCGCCGACCCTCCCTGGGCCTCGCCCCGCGCGCCCCGGCCCGGGGGCCCCGCACCCGCGCAGCAGCGCAGTTCGCGCCCTCGAGCACCGTTTTTTCCTGGGGGGCCAGGGGCAGCCCTCGCTGCCCGCTCCTGCGTCGCCGCCGCCCGGCACGCGCTCGCGCTCGGCCTCCCGCAGCCTCGGGCGCGTGGGTCGCGGGCAGCGCTTTCCCCTCCCCGAGCAGCCCCCCGCTCCCGGCCTCGGCCGCGGCAGACGCCCGTCCCCCTGCGCGGCCAGGGCGCCCGCACGGCTCGCAGCGGCTTGGCCCCCGTCGGTCCCGGGACGGCGCGCGGGCGCGTGCAGGGCCCCAGCTCCGAGGACAGCCGCGCGGCGCGTCCTCTCCCGGGCCGGGGCGCCGGGGCGTCTTCGCGCCTCGCGGGTTTCCGGCAGGCGGGCGGCCAGGCCCCCGCCGGCTCCCTGGTGGTCTAGTGGCTAGGATTCGGCGCTTTCACCGCCGCGGCCCGGGTTCGATTCCCGGTCAGGGAACTCCTTTTACCCCGAGCGCCCGCGGCCCCCGCGCCGCACTCCAGGCCGCAGAGGCGCCCCGGGGCCCAGCGGAGGCCGAGGCATCCCGCCGGCGGCGGCGTCTGTGCCTCCCGCGAACTCGGGGCAGCTCCGGAGACGCCACGGGTTTTTTAAACCCTGGCCCGGCCCAAGGGGCTCCTCTGTTTCCTCGAGGCCGACCAGAGCCCCTGCCCTCCCCGAGCGCCGCCGTCCAAGTCCCGGCTCCTGCTGGCGGGGAAGGTTCAGAAACGAGGTGCTCTGGCGCACCCCGGGCCACAGGCACCCGGACTAACTCGCCGCCGCCGCCTGGTCTTCAGGACGCGGCGAGGAAGCGCGCGCAGCGGGTGAGCCGGTCTCCAGGCCCGCAGGGGACGCGGAGGCCCCCGCCGGGGCGCTGCTCCCTGATGCGGGAGGACTGGCGCCCGCCCCTCGGGGACAGAGGCCGAAGGGAGCGCGGCCTTGGGGTCCGCCGCCCGCGCGAGGCAGCTCCGCGGGCCCCGGGCCTCGTCCCCAGCCAGCTGCTGCCCGCGCCGTCCAGCGGCCCGACGCGCCCACGCCACGGGCAAAAGCGGGGCGAGGCGCGAAGAGCCTGGCGGGAGCAAAAAGGGGCGCGCCCTGCATTGGCCGGGAATCGAACCCGGGTCTCCCGCGTGGGAGGCGAGAATTCTGCCACTGAACCACCAATGCTTGCCGACGGCACGCTCGGGAGGGGGAAGGGAAGGAGCCCCGCCGGACCCTGGGGCCTGGGGCGGCGCCCCGCGCTCGGGGTGCCGGTGTGAGGCGCGCGGACCCAAAGGTTCCCAAATACACCGCAGTCTTCAGAAGCCAGAGCGGACCTGCCGCAGCCACGTCAGCCGGGCTGCCCGTCACTCACGTCAGGCCACAGCACCGCGCGCGCGTTCAACGCCAAAGACTGGAAAGGTCTCCACCGCGGTCTCTGCGGAGAGCCGGGGAAAGCTCTGCAGCCCCCTGGTGAACGCCCTGGACCCGCCGCGGCGTCAACCCGGGGTTCCTTCCCAACGCCCTCCCAAGAGCGCCGTCGGCAGGCATTGGTGGTTCAGTGGCAGAATTCTCGCCTCCCACGCGGGAGACCCGGGTTCGATTCCCGGCCAATGCAGGGCGCGCCCCTTTTTGCTCCCGCCAGGCTCTTCGCGCCTCGCCCCGCTTTTGCCCGTGGCGTGGGCGCGTCGGGCCGCTGGACGGCGCGGGCAGCAGCTGGCTGGGGACGAGGCCCGGGGCCCGCGGAGCTGCCTCGCGCGGGCGGCGGACCCCAAGGCCGCGCTCCCTTCGGCCTCTGTCCCCGAGGGGCGGGCGCCAGTCCTCCCGCATCAGGGAGCAGCGCCCCGGCGGGGGCCTCCGCGTCCCCTGCGGGCCTGGAGACCGGCTCACCCGCTGCGCGCGCTTCCTCGCCGCGTCCTGAAGACCAGGCGGCGGCGGCGAGTTAGTCCGGGTGCCTGTGGCCCGGGGTGCGCCAGAGCACCTCGTTTCTGAACCTTCCCCGCCAGCAGGAGCCGGGACTTGGACGGCGGCGCTCGGGGAGGGCAGGGGCTCTGGTCGGCCTCGAGGAAACAGAGGAGCCCCTTGGGCCGGGCCAGGGTTTAAAAAACCCGTGGCGTCTCCGGAGCTGCCCCGAGTTCGCGGGAGGCACAGACGCCGCCGCCGGCGGGATGCCTCGGCCTCCGCTGGGCCCCGGGGCGCCTCTGCGGCCTGGAGTGCGGCGCGGGGGCCGCGGGCGCTCGGGGTAAAAGGAGTTCCCTGACCGGGAATCGAACCCGGGCCGCGGCGGTGAAAGCGCCGAATCCTAGCCACTAGACCACCAGGGAGCCGGCGGGGGCCTGGCCGCCCGCCTGCCGGAAACCCGCGAGGCGCGAAGACGCCCCGGCGCCCCGGCCCGGGAGAGGACGCGCCGCGCGGCTGTCCTCGGAGCTGGGGCCCTGCACGCGCCCGCGCGCCGTCCCGGGACCGACGGGGGCCAAGCCGCTGCGAGCCGTGCGGGCGCCCTGGCCGCGCAGGGGGACGGGCGTCTGCCGCGGCCGAGGCCGGGAGCGGGGGGCTGCTCGGGGAGGGGAAAGCGCTGCCCGCGACCCACGCGCCCGAGGCTGCGGGAGGCCGAGCGCGAGCGCGTGCCGGGCGGCGGCGACGCAGGAGCGGGCAGCGAGGGCTGCCCCTGGCCCCCCAGGAAAAAACGGTGCTCGAGGGCGCGAACTGCGCTGCTGCGCGGGTGCGGGGCCCCGGGCCGGGGCGCGCGGGGCGAGGCCCAGGGAGGGTCGGCGGCCGGGGCTGGGCCGGGAAAAGGAGGAGGCGGGCCCCGAGGGGCCGAGTGCCGTGACTCGGATTCGAACCGAGGTTGCTGCGGCCACAACGCAGAGTACTAACCACTATACGATCACGGCGCGCCACGCGGCCCGCGCCGGCAGCCCGCGCGCTCGGCGCCTCCTGGCCCGCGCCCGGCGCCCGGGCTGCCCGCTGGGCCGGCGCGGGCCGGGGCCTCGCCCTCCCGTGGTCGGACGGCCGCGGCTCTCCAGCCCCGCGTGGCGACAGCCCGGGCGCGCCGTCTGCGGCAGGAGCCTCTGCGCGGGCCTCCGGGGCTCCCGGCCTGGAGCAGACGCCGCCGCTTCCTGCCCCCCTGGACTTTGCTCTTGCCCCTCCACACCCCCGAACCCCAGCCCGTCCCCGCCCCGCCCCGGTCTCTCGCGGTCGCGGAGCCGCAGCAGCCGAGCGCCCGCGGCGCGGAAGGTGGGGCGCGGCCGCAGCGAAAGGGAAGAGCGACAGGGGAGACCCGGGCCGTTCAGCCGCCCTCGCGCGCCCCTGGGCGGCCTCGGCGGCGCGGCCTCCAGGCGGGTGCGGAGCCCGTCGGGCGACCTGGGCGTCGCTGAGCGGACCGGGCGCCGGCGGCACTGGCTCCCGGCCCCGCGGGGTGGCGGCTGTCGCGCGCTGGGAGCCCGGGTCCGAGCTGCGCGCCCGCAGCCCCGCGGCTCGGCGGAGCCTGGGGGGACGCGCCTCTCAGCCGGCGCCCGACGCGCGCTGCCCGCAGGTCTCTGTGGCGCAATCGGTTAGCGCGTTCGGCTGTTAACCGAAAGGTTGGTGGTTCGAGCCCACCCAGGGACGCCTGTCGCCCTTTTGACACCCGCAGGCGACGGCGCTGCTTCCAGCCCGCCCCCCTGCTCGCGAGGGGCGGAGAGGAGAGCCCTCCACGACCCTCCTGTCGCCCCGGCCTGTGCAGCACCGGCGCGTTCCCGCCCTTCCGAGTTCCTTTTGCGGCCGGCGTTTGTCCGGCTGTTTGGACTCCGGCGGGCCCCAGAAACGGCCGCGCGGGCACCAGCCCCTCGCCCAGGTCGAGGCCGGGGCCAGAAGAGGCCCCCCCCCCCCCCCCGCCACAGGGCGGCACCGACCCGGCGCCCCGACGGCGGCGCGGAAGCGGCCTTCCTGCCAACACTCCTCTGGCGTGGCCGGCACCCCGGCCGCCGCCCTCGCCCTCCAGGCACAGGCGAGCATTCCTCGGCCTTCTGTCCGGCCGACCCCCAGGTCCCCGCAGGACGCGCAGGAGCAGGCAGGAGCGGAGGGGCCGGCAGGCGCCAGGGCCTGGAGCAGCGACCTCGCGCGCTCCGACGGCGCGGGGCGCTGCCTGCACCACCGGGTGAGCACAGCTCCCTGGGCGCCGCCCCGGCCCGAGGGGCCCCGCCGTCGGGTCCCGGAGAGGCCCCTGCAGACGGCACGGCCCCCGCCTCCAGCCGCGCGGCGCTGAGCCCCGTTTGGAGGGAGACCCCCCAAAGAGCAGGGGCGCCGCCGCTCCACCAGGGCCCCTGAGGCGTCGCGCGGGGCTCTCGGCGGGGGAGCCGATCGCGCAGCCCAGAGAGGAGGCGAGTGGCGCGGGCCCCGCCCCGGCGCGTTTCAGTGGAAAGCAGCGGCCGTTACTGTCACCCGCGAGGTCCGGGCGCGCGTCCTTCGGGGCCTCGGGCCTCCTGACGGCCGCCCGCTTGGCGCGGGGCCCGCGTCCAGGGCGCAGCACGAATCTCCTCCTCCTCGGCCGTCTGTGGCCGCAGCCCCCGCGCCACGAGACTGGTCCCCGCTGTTGCGCCCCCGCACCCTCCTGTCCCGACCCTGTGCGGGGCTGGCGCGCCCAGAGCGCCCGGGCGGAAAGACCTTGTTCCTCAGGGACGGGCGAGCTGGGGCCGCAGAGAAGACGCGGCCGCAGACGAGACGAGTAGGGGCTTCGGGCCGGGGTGGTGGGCGCGGCCCGGAGGCCGGCTGCCGAGAGTCCCGGGGGCGCGGGAACTGTGTCCATGGGAATGCGGGGGACCCCGGCGGGATCGTCCCCTCCAGGAAAAGGAAATGTTTCCGCCCGGTTTCGAACCGGGGACCTTTCGCGTGTGAGGCGAACGTGATAACCACTACACTACGGAAACCGGGCTGCCGTCTGGGCCGAGCCCCTGACGCTTGGAGGCCGCGGTGCTTCCCGCCGCCCCAGGACAAGGTCGCCGGGTCGCCCCAGCGCCCTCAGCTGCGAAAACCGCGGTCCGGAGAGGCCCTGCCTGGGGTTCCGCGCCTGCCCCCCACAGGGCCCTGTCCCCCCGCAGTCCCGCTGTGGTCGCCTCCACCCGCTGTCCTGTCCCCGCAGCGCACAGGACGCGCCTGCTGAGCCCGGCTCTGGTGTTTGGAGTGTCCTGTGTCCGAGGTGTCGCCGCCTTGCTCTTGGTTGTCACTGTGTTTACTGCGGGTGAGTGTCTGTCATGCACCTTCCATGTGCTTCACTCGCTGTGGACAAAATTATAACTTAACAGTAATTTTCCCAGATATTTTTCTACCTTTATCTAGCACTTTAGTCGCATCCTCAGACTGGATCCTTGGTGTGGAGTTATTGTTCTTCTCTAGAAACTGTAAGGTTCTTTTCTTCTTGCCTAACAGAACATAGGTCTTCAAAGTCCAGGCTGTTTTCTCATAATGATTATTGGAAAATTTCCTCTCGGCTCTGCGGGACGTCCACAAGCCCGGGGTGGAGCCCGGGGGTGAAATGCTCCGCTGCTGCTCGTTAGCGCCATCCACTGGCCTCAATAGAGGCCAGTTTGCAGCTCTCCTCCCTGCCGGCCTGTGACTACGCAGGTGTCTCCTTTTTATCCTTTCTCCTTTTCCTAATAAACCTGTATTTAAAAATGTTTAAAAGTGGGCTTCTCTGGTGGCAACCTATGAAGCTCTCTGCAGCCACTGCAGCACGAGTTCGATCCCCAGTCAGGGAGCTACCCACATGGCGCCACAGACCTCTCCTGACTCGCCCGCTGCTCCCCTCAGCAGTGGATTTTACTAGATCTGCCTGTTCTGCTCCCCACTCTGTCTCTGGTGAATCCTCTCACAACCCCCCCACCTCTGCCCTGCACCTCAGTTCTTGTATGCATAAATAAATAAAAATAATCTTTTTTTAGTTGTTGTTAGCTAAAAGAATGTATGTGGTTTACCGAAGGGAAACTTGTACAGAAAGAAGAAAAGATAAGATTTAATAAAACAGAAGTGTAATTCCACATGTGTATAAAATACAGAAAATTTTAATAGAAAGTTGTTAACAAGATAAAGCTGAACGATCTACAAAATCACACCTGTTTGGAGCCCATCAGAGTTGAGGTTGCAAGGCCACTGGATAAATTGAAGTCCAAAGCAGAAGAAACCCCTCCAAGGAGGGACAGATACATGAGCCATGTCACCGTGGCAGAAGACAAAGATGGCATCTATAAAAGTTAAGGAGAGAACAACTGATGTTTATCCATTTCTTAAAGGCCTCCTGTGGGTGATAGTTTAGAATCTCCAAGAGACCCAATTGCAAAGCAGGTTTTCACACAGTTGTTAGATCTTTCTGTGAAGTCTCCACCAAGAGTCCATGCACCAAAAAAAGTCGGCAGGATAAGAGATTCTCAAAGTTGCCTTAATGGTAAGGGCATGAGATCATGAACAGCTACTCCTGCAACCGAGTCCCTTCTCTCGTGAACTAAAAGCCACCTACCACCAATGTCAGAGCAGGAAACCCTGCCAAGCTTTGGCCCCAGATCTAGCCAGCTGGTGTTATGATAGGGGTAGGAGCAAACGCTGTCCACTAATGAATAGAAGGGAAAAGACTTTTCTTGCCCTAGTCTTCCCATCTTAAAGAGGCAGAGTTGCCCTACCACAGAGGGGGGTCACAGAAACACCAGGTCCAAGGCATATGTGGCTTCCGGCTTGGTACACAGTGCCTGCCTAAGACAGGCTAGAACAGGAGAACGGAACCCTCTCCTTTCCACCATGTCTCTGGACTGAGAAACAAGCAAATGTAGTCAAATCTACCCCTAAGAAGACAAACCAAGTGACATCCAGGGCCCCATCTACGAAGTGGGTATATTTCTATTAAAAGCTGAGAATGGAGCAGGTGCTGGAAGAAAACCCGGCAGCACTGCTAGGCTCCTGCTAAGCAGACAGCAAGACAACACACTGCGGAAGGATCTGGAAGCCATGATGAACACTAACTAGAGCAACAGGGGGGAAAGCCAGCTCGGCTGTTTGCCTGGCTGACTCAAATACCTGCACTGGTGACCTGACAGGAGAACAGGCATGACTAAATGATTCTCAATTACTTTTTTACACAGCATCTAACAATTATTTTTCGAATGTAATACACACAGGTACGCAGAGATGACCATGGTCACGAGGTATAGCAGTCCTCAGAATAGACCCCTGGAAGTTAGACAGGGATTTTAAAACACAATAAATGAATACATTTCCAAAGTTAATGCTGGGGTTCCCAGCCAGGGTGGTTTCCAGCTGGCACAGAAGCAGTGGTTTGTACCTAAGGGGTCCGCGAAGCCCAGGTCCTGCCCTGGGGACCATGTACGCTCTCTGGTGATGGGGAAAGCGTGAAAGCACAGACACATACTATTAGTTGCTGAAATTTCACCTCGGGTGGAAATTTTGGTAAACTGAGGCACGATCTGTGGTTTCTGGTGGAAGTTTAAAGGACTCTTCCCTGGGCCTAAGCCCAGCCTGGATTTGACGCCATTGTCTGACGGGCGGGGACATGCTCAAGTCAGCGACAGGAGCCCGCCCCACGGGAGCGGCCGCAGGTGGGTCCTGCCGGGGGAAGAAGCGCCTGGGGTTGTGGGTGGGAATTAAGGGTGCGGGGCTGACTGGGCACTATTCACACAGCTGCCGCGAAAAGGGGAGCCCTGCCCCGCGGAGGTTCCATGGTGTAATGGTTAGCACTCTGGACTCTGAATCCAGCGATCCGAGTTCAAATCTCGGTGGGACCTTTATGTTTAACCAGCCTGGGGGACATTTTACTCCCCACGGGGGATGTGGTTTCTGGCTCCGAGGCCCCTGGTGTGGAGAGGAAGGTGTCCCGCCCCTTCTGGTGGGGGGGTCCCCCCGCCCCAACGCTCAGCTCGCCTTCCACCGGGTCCCGGCCCGACGGGCGGGGCTGGGGCTACCTGGTGGGGCCACGGGGATCCCCGAGTGCGTTGACGTCGCCCTGCAGCTTGGGCCCGCGAGAAACCCGAGGCTGGGTTTTATTCCGATTTTATTCCGACTCTTTAGCGCCTGCAGCCTCACTGGGGGCACCTGGGCCCGAGCTCCCCGCACTGCGATCCTAACTCCAGGGGCGCCCCTTCCGTCCCACGCGGCCAGAGAGTTTGCAGGGGCCACACCGCACTGACAAAGACAGTGGAGTCGCGGAGCAGGCTCCGGAATGCAGGACGCCGCTGAAGAGCAAGATCTTGGCCTGTTTGTGGCTAGAATCATCATAATCATCAGTTGTGAGAGGAAGGAGGACAAAGAGAAAAGGGAGGGGTCAGGCCAGAAAACGTGCTGTCACCTGTGGGGCCGGGGGTTGAGCCTGCCCTCCAGGCACTTCCCATCTGCTCGATGGATGACTCGGAATTGTAATTGAGAACGAGCTCTAGATCCCCAGCCATGGTTTCAACCTCATCAACAAGGCTTTCCACTGATCAGCCTCTGGGGTCCCTTGTCCTGGATCCGTCCTCAGCCCCCGGGGCGTTCCCGGGGTGATCCAGCTTGAAGCTCTTGGTTGATTTGAAAGGCCCTTGTAAGGTTTGGCTCTGACTGACTGACCAGGCATTTCTGACCTTGTGTAGGAGCGCAGAACTGCAGGTAACAAAATGGTGGCCCAACAGGCCGCTTAGGATTAGCAGACCCACAAGAGGAGTCCCGGCTGGGATTCCTGGGGTTCCTGAGCCCCCCAGCCCCAGTGGGTGTTCGCCACCCCCCCACAAGGTGAGATAAGGAGCCACCCCAAAGGCGGAGCCAACCCAAAGGCCGAGCCCCCAACCCGCAGGCTCCCCTATGCCCTGCCCAAGTCTGCTCCAGGAGGAGACACCTCAGGCCGTGACCCTGGGAAACACTTTCTCTTCTGCTGGGCAAAAACCACAAACCCCAAAACTGTTGATCAAGCCTTGGAAAGGCGCGTCCCAGCTGGTTAAGACGTCGGGAGCCAGATCTCTTAGCTAGGGAAACTTCAGCTTCACACGGACTGAAAATCTCTGCTGTGTTGGGGGAGTGGGGGGCTCTCTTTGGAGGCGTGAAGGGGAAGAGTTTGGGCACCACCAAGAAAACAGGCAAGGGAGGGAGCGAAGACCGACAGACGCCAAGCCAGGTCCTGACGGCCCGGGAGATGACCGGCGGGTGGGGAAACAAATTCATTTTCCATTCGTAGGTCGATGTGCTCTGCGGGGCCTGGGGTGGGACGCCAGAAAACCCAGGAACATCACTCTCATGTGGCAGTCAGAGATAAGCAGGGAAATTAGTTACAGGAGTTGCAGGTGGTTTCTCTGGGGAGAAATGTGGGCTGGGCCAGGAGGAGACCCTTCCCATAGGTTCTGGATATGTGTAAAATAATTTCTTTCTACCTCCGACATTTTTTTTTTAAGATTTATTTATTTATTCATACATACAAGAATCGGGGTACAGGTCAGACGCATGGGAGGGTGAGAGGATTCACCAGAGACAGAGCCGGGAGCAGAACAGGCAGACTGACGAAATCCACTGCTGCGCCTCCGACATTCTTAAAGTTCATCGTTTGTATTTTGAATTTAAAATTCTAGGTATGTTTATGCCTCACACTTTAAAGATGCTAGGTTTGTGTCATGTGTAGAATTGTCCCACTGTAAAGCTGTACATTTGTTATTGGGGCAGTTTTGAAGCAAGGAATTGGATCATTATTCACTTTTAATGAGTTAAACAGAAAAGCTCATAAACTCCCAAGGCAGGAAGTTACTGCTGGTCAGTGAGGATTGTTTCATTCTGCCTAGGAGGATC